GCTGGAAAAAAAAAAAAAAGCTCTTTATTTCTTTTTTTTTTTTTTGAATCAGAGCCTCACTTTGTCGCCCAGGCTGAAGTGCAGTGGCACTCTCACGGCCACCACAGCCTCAACTTGCTGGGCTCAGGCGATCCTTCCCTCAGCCTTCCAAGTAGACAGAGCCACGGGCATGCACCAGCATGCCCAGCTAAATTTTTACCTATTGTGAAGCTGAGGTCTTGCCAAGTTGCCCAGGCCGGTCTCAAACTTGTGGGCTCATGCAGTCCTCTTGCCTCAGCCTCTCAAAGTGCTGGGATTACAGGTGTGAGCCACCACGCCTTGCTAGCTCTCTGTTTTAAATGAGGACATTTAGAAGGAATTTGTGTGTGTGTGTGTGTGTGTGTGTGTGTGTGCATTTGTGTTTTGATTAAGAGGTATCAGCATCAAATTGTTGGCGATTTAATCTTGTCTCTCAAGACTTTTCTATTGCTTATACATCCTCTCTACCTTGTCAGCTGATGATTTTCCTCCTTTCTTTTCATCCTCACTGTGACCTGTGCAAACAGCTACTGACCAGATGAGCTTATCAGAGGGGAAGTTTTCTGTGTCTGAGTTTACTGAGTTGCCCCCTCCCTTTTTCTAAGTTAACTAATGAGATACTTATACCGCAGGACTTACAAGGGTTCAAGTCCTATAGTTACTTCTTCCTCTTTGTGTTAAATTGGCTTTTGTGAGGGCCTTATTAAAACAATATTCCTTTGAGTAAGTACAATCTAAATTCTTAATAGATGACTTACTGTTAATCTTGTTGAATATATTTTCTTGGTTTAATATTACCTTTTAGTAATGGGCCTGGAAAAGCTGTACCGATCTAATTTATGGGTTTGTATTAAATATGCTATTAGAAAAACTGGCAATCCAGTTACTAAGATAAATAAGTAGTCCAGAGACCACAAAATAAACTTTAACCAATCTTGTGCTTTGCAGCAGAGCAATCTAGGTCTGTTTTGCTTATTTATTGCTGCTGCTTTCTTTTTTCTTCTCCTGCTGTCATTTCTTCTTTTGTCCCACAATATCTGGCAATAGTTTTTACATATGTTTGCTCTAACACTTTCTGGACTTAGAATGGGATCAGAAAGGGAAGCCAGCCTAGCAGAGTACACTGGACTCTGGAGATTTGTTCTTAGGCTTCTTTTACTTGGACTGATTTTAGAAGAGTTGTTCTTGGATTAATTAAATAGCAAGCTATATAAATAAATAGATATATTAATGATACTCTAGTCTGCCTGTTTTAATTTGTGTTGCCTCAACCATTTTTTCTTTCAGGAAAAGTTCACAATATTCATTGTTATTTGAACCATCCTCTCCTATTTTATGTAGATATAGAATCATGATTTTGCGTAAAGGTGGCTGCTTGTTATTTTACACTAAAAGAAAATAAAACATTTAGTACTCAATACTGTGTTAAATAGGAACTCATGCCTCTATGGGAAATAAATCAGTGCAAACCTTTGGAAAGCCATTTAGCAGTATATACCAAGAGGCTTGAACTGTTTGTGTCTTTGACCTACTAATTTTACTTTTAAGAATTTATTGTAAGGAAATAGTCATAAATGTGGAAAAAACTTTTATGGACAGTGGAGTTTATCACAGAGCTAATTATTTATATTAGAAAACTGGGGAAATTAAAATGTTCAACTATAAAGAATTGGTGAAGGAAATTCAAGTCAACTGTTGTATAGCCATTGAGAATGTTTACTAAGAGGATAAAATAACATGAAAGATGCTTTTGATATAACATTCAGTGGTGAAAAACGTGAGGTAGAACATTTCCTAATTCAGTATCATTACATATTGGTAAAATATGCTTGGAAAAAAAATAATGTTAAAGTATAGGTAGTGATTATGTTTGGGTGGTTTGGTTTCATTTTCTTCTTATAGAGCAGTTTCAAAATTTTCTGTAATGATCATATGCTGTTTTTATAGCGAGGAGAAAGAATGTAACTCTCCTACCTTCTCGTTAAAAATACTATTTTCCTTACAGCTTTAAACAGTGGTATTAAAAGTCAGCTTGTGCGCACTAGAATAAAATTTTTATAAAGGAACCTTATGCATCATGGATTCTCTACCTGAAGAGATTTTTGTAAGGTAAGGTAAGGTTGACAAAAATCAACTGCATTTGTTGTATTCCAAAGACACATTTGTCTTTACCACATAAACTTGGGAATCTAGTGAGAATGAGATGCCCTATGCTTCAAGACAGTTTGGTTACTTTGATGTAGACTGGGTGAAATCTAATTTTAGAAAAGTTCATTAAGGATTACACTGTCACTAAGGAGCTAAGAACTGATAAATGTGCCATACCTTGCTACTCTTGGGACATTCTCACCAAAATAATATTTTATCATTTAACCAGTGCTTACATAGACTTCTTTATGTTAGGGTATTGTTTTTAATGTTTTTACAAATGTTAACTCATATAAACCTCATGACAACTTTATGAAGTGAGTCTTTATAGAGGATAATTTAAACATAATGCAGAAGATCCTACTAAGTGGTTCAGTTGGGCCCAGGCCAAATGATAGTCTGTTCCCTCTAACCAGGGCAAGGTCAGTCTGTTTGACCTTCTGCCACAGAGTACTAAACTCCAACCTTGAAATAATAAGCAGTTTAGCTGGGCGTGGTAGCGCACTCCTGTAGTTCCAGCTACTTGGAAGGCTGAGGTGGAAGGATCACCGGAGCCCAACAGGTGGAGGCTGTGGTGACCGTCCAGTCTGGGCGACAGAGTGAGACTCCAACTCAAAAAATAAAATAAAATAAAAAATAATAAGGAGTGTGGCCTGTTGATTTACTTTTCAAGCATTTACTGACTCCTTGGTGCTTTAGGAATAAAGACTAAGACAAAATTTGTACATTTAGAGAAAGCTTACAGTAGGAAGAGAAATAAAAAGCAATTATAGTTTTATTTTTATTTTTATTTTATTTTTTTGAGTTGCTGTCTCACTCTGTCACCCAGACTGAAGTGCAGTGGCCACTCCCAGCCACCGCAGCCTCGACCTGCTGGGCTCCAGCTATCCTTCCGCCTCAGTCTTCCAAGTAGCTGGAACTACAGGCGCGCGCTACCACACCCAGCTGATTTTTTGATTTATTGTAGAGATGAGGTCTCGCTGCCCAGGTGGGTCTCAAAACCCACGGGCTCAGGCAATCCACTCACCTCAGCCTCCCAAAGGCACGGGATTACAGGCTGAGCCACCGAGCCCGGCTAGCAAATTTAGACAAACTGCCTCAGTATTATGTTTGAGATGCTGTGGCTATTTATATGAAGGAACAATGATTAGAGACAAAGGCTTGAGTGAGTTTTCAGGAAGTGACATTTGAACTGATCTTTAAAGAAATTTGGTGGCCGCAGAAGCAGCTGAGGATGAGAGGTAGTTTGGGGAAACAGCAAGAAAAAGTACTTAATTCTTGAGAAGGATTTTAACTGTGTTGCTGAGAGTTTACTTTCAGAGGAGGAGGTGATTAGTTGGAGTTACTCATCAAAATTTGTTATGGAGCTCATAGAAAGTATAGCAGCTCAACTGACACTTGAGATTCAGAAGATCTGAAGTAGGTTGGGGTATCTGGATGTTTCAGAAGCTTCACAGTTGATTTTAATATGTATCTGGGACTGAGAACTATTGAGTTAAGGAGTAAATGATTGAGAAATGGAGTTTTCAAGTAGTATATACATTTAAGAACATTTTATTCTTTCTCAAACCTTGAAACTTAGAACACTGCTCAATATTTTACATTACTTGATAACACAAGGATGTTCCTTGTGGCATTCTGTTTTGTTTTTGGAATGAGGCTTAGAAGTGGAGGAAAAGACAGTCAGTGGGTCTGTCTTTACCATGACACTTTAAAGAGTACTGAGAATCATATTGTGAAATATTGCATGTGTGTGTGTAAATCATCTTTTTTTAAAATTTTCACTAGGAGATTGAAATGTGGATAATACTATACTGTTTATCTGTCACAGTTTCCCCTGACAAAATCAATTAGCATGTAGTGGATGATAAATGATTATCTTGTTAAATGAATACATACATGTAAAATAGGATAAGATTTATAAAGTACAATTCTGAGTAAATAAATCTATATAAATTTCTCATCTCAGTTTAATCTCTATTTAGTGTAAAAAATTAAGAAGATGATATAAAACATATATGAACCTATAGTATGGTTCCTTTATTATGATTTCTATATGTGGCTCTGTGTGAAGGCAAAAATATTTTTGTAAATAAATTTTTTAGTTAAGTATATAACACTGTAATATGTTCACATTTTTGAGCCACTGTGAAAAGCAAAACCTGTCAAGTTATTCCTTTTTAACAAGTTAACTAATTAGCTTTTAAATATGTTGTTTCTCTCAATTAAAAAATTATTTTGGAAAATTGGATAATTGTAAGTATAGGAGCCCCAAACAAAAAATAAAATGATCTGTGTAAGATAGATCTTTTCCTAACCTGTATTATCTTCATACACACACATACACACACACACTCACACACACAAACACACAAAACACCAACCTTCACAAGGACTTTTATTCTCTACCTTGAAACTGTGCTGTAAGGTTAATTTTTTCCCATTATTTTGGTCTATCACATGTCTACTAAAGATACGGTGGTTTTTTTTTTATACCAGCTTGTTGTTTTCTGTACCACTATCCGGTAAGGTAATGGCCTAATTTGTTTTCTTTCATCTGAGTCCCTAAAGAGATATGGCACTTACCACCATTATCAGTTTTTAATACACTTTAGTTACACTTCTAAAAATTCAAACAATAATTCAATTATCGGGTTCTTTACTGCTTCAATTTAATTGTGTCCTTCATGAGGAGATGCTGTGAATATATGTCTTTTTCATTTAAAATAGGGATTCTGCTGTGGAGGAGCAAAAGGAAGAGGAAACTAAGGATGAGCTAGAAAAATCATCTGATCAACTGGTAAGAGAAAATTCAACTTTCATTACCTTTTAGTTAGTTAATAATGACTAGTTATATATGAGAATACAATGGTAAATCTAGTCTGTTTAATTATCTGTTAACATTTTTTGGGTGAGTTGACTTTTCTACCTTAATAAGTAAAGTGGTCTTAATTAAATCTTACCTTGATGATTGATACTGTATCTCAAGGTTATCATTCTAATCATTCTAAACACCAATTCTTTTTTTTTTTTGAGTTGGAGTCTCACTCTGTCACCCAGACTGGAGTGCAGTGGCCGCTCCCGGCCACCGCAGCCTCGACCTGCTGGGCTCCGGCGATCCTTCCGCCTCAGTCTTCCAAGTAACCGGAATTACAGGCATGCGCTACCACGCCCGGCTGATTTTTTTGATTTATTGTAGAGATGAGGTCTCGCTGCCCAGGCGGGTCTCGAACCCGTGGGCTCAGGCAGTCCACTCACCTCAGCCTTCCAAAGGCGCGGGATTACAGGCTGCGCCACCGAGCCCGGCTTAAACACCAATTCTAACCATAACTTAAAATTAGTAAGAAATTCAGTTGACTTGCCTAGATACTCCCAGCAATCAGTTTTAAGCGATCCCTTATTTGTCTTTTAAATGCAAAATTCAAACAAAATGAAAACCATACACATACATATAAAGAAAACACACACATTCAGAATTTTATTTAGTAAGAAGTTTACTGAGTTTCTGAAGTTTTCTTCTTTATTTTATCGTCTTTGTTAGAACTTTTAGGTCTAAAGGAAAGAGAATAATGCTGAATTATACATAATATATAGCTTTTATTGCCAGTGACAGTATACTTTATGGTAGATTAATCTGTATAGTAGATTTATGTAAGTACTATATTTGGTGAAAGATTGATGAAGAAATGTTTGTTTGTTGGTTTCTTGTTAGTGCAATTTTTACCTTCCACATAGTTTTATATAATGATGATACCCACTTGTTAATAAGGTTTGCAAATATTATCTAATAATTTAGGAGGGGAAAAGATATAAACATAAAATAACCATAGTATTCACTAGCATGAGGTTACCAGTGTAAAAAATGTTGAAGGAGAAATACACTTTGTGCAAATGTACATAGGGTTATATAATTGATCAAAGGCAAGAATCAAGGGACTAGATCCAGAAAAGACATTTCTGGATACAGAATTGGGAAAAGCAAGGAAAGTGGGCACTTTGGCCTGAATTTTGTTTAGATGTTCAGTCAAGTTTTGTAAAATTGATCAAGCATTAAATATTTTGACAACCAACTTAAAAAAATTTGTGTTTATAATATATAAATATTTAATAGGCATGAAGCTTATAGTATTTTCTGTTGCAGACTTTTTATTCAGGCCATAATCTTGCTTGTGTAAAATTTGCTCATTGGTATCAGATGACTCTGCAATGTTTTTTTTGACTGCATAATTAACCTTTAATTTGAAATGTTTGTACCTCTAAAGTGATCATTTTTATAAAGATTTTTTTCTTTTTTTTTAAGTTGAAATATTTCATGTAATTTTGTTTTTTATTTTTAAATATGTGGGATACATTTATACAATCAGGGTTAGGTATACAAATGCTCTTTATGCGGGTACCCTTGTTGATGAGGTGTGCCCCCCCCCACCCCCCAGCAGTTTTCCACTACAATCCCTTTCTTACAGTATTATAATTGTTCAAGGTTTGCTTATGAGTGAGAACATGTAGTACTCTGTTCTTTGTTTCTGTGATTGATCATCGAGTATGATAGGCTCTAACTCTATAAAGATTTTTCTAGTTACTTTGTGGAATTTTATTTTAACTTTTTGAAAAATTTCAAACCTACAGAAAGGTTACAAGAATAGTACAATGAACACATGTAGTACGGTGAGTAATATAGTGAACACTCTTCACAGCAATTTAGTAAACTGTTAACATTTTTCTTTATATATAATCTTCATATATGAAGAACTGTAAAATCTAAGGTATATTTGTTGGATATAGATGTGGCTGGAGGATTCTTGAACACTCAAACCCAGGAGGGGTTATTGGGCAAATAGACCTTCAGTGGACACTACTGGTTCCTAGTTACTTTTCTGTGTAGTTCTACATCTGTTAGGTACCTGACAATCAAAGAGTTACCCCACACCAGGTCATTTTCAGTGACTCAAGCTCTATGTGGCTTCTGCAATAAGATGTTTGTTTTGATTTTCAAAGGCCAATAGCAATGTAATCCTATTTCAAAAGTTTCAATAAGGTATAGGAGCTCTGGTATCTTATTAAGATTTGAAGGAAGGCATTTATCCATCTGTCCTAGATCCTTTATCCATCTCTGTTGCCCACTAGTTCTTCATGACTAATTTTAATAGACAGTCCACCAGAACATGACTGTATAGTTATCAGTGAATCATTAACACTGGTCTTGTAAAGTCTAAGAATCAATTCTTGAAGTTCCAAGATTATCACTATTTATTCCACTCTGACTGAATTGAGATGGTGAGTCTCAATTTACTATTTTACTGACAATTAAAACTCTTCATTTTTGAAGGGCTGTGTTATTTAGTGGCTAAAGCATCAGTCACATAATGTAAAAAGCACTCACATATAGTTTTCATATTATGTAGAATAATCTATGTAATATTATAAGTTCCTTGACAACAGAGAACATTTATTATACTTACTTGGATTTTCTGGAGTCCTGTCCTGTGATCTGCACACAGTAAGTGCTTTGTTCCTTTTGTAATACTTTGGTGTTTTCAGTATTAGGATAAATGGAAATATATATAATTGTATATATTTTTAACGAGTAATGTCTTCTAGGACAAACAGGAAAAGGACATACCTACTGATCTTGTAGCTGTTAACCTACTATTAGAAGTGAAGAAGTTATTAAATGTTATTAGTACCCTACCAAAAGGTGTGGTTCCTCACATTAAGAAGTTCTTACAAGAAGATTTTTCCTTCCAAACTATGCAGGTAATATTATAATTTGTTCTGAGGGGGTAGAAGTACAATTCTCTGTATATGACTTTTTATTTTAATTTATTTTTTTTAAACCACACAGTGTAGCTAAGGTCTTGAAATCTCCATCTTCTTTTAAATGGCTTTGGTATCCAACTTCACTGAGACTTTTCAAAACTAAATATATAGCAATTGCTCTAAGAAGAAAAGTGGCTCCAAAAGTCAGTTTAATGTCTCTGGGCCTCCTGTCTTTCTTATGTGTTGGCACCAGAGATTTTCAGTGCCTTGGTAGCTTTCCATTGCTTTCAGATAAGTAGTTTTTATATATTTTCTGGTTTTGTTTTGTTTTGTTTTTGAGTTGGAGTCTCACTCTGTTGCCCAGGCTGGAGTACAGTGGCACACTCACTGCCACCCCGGCGTTGGCCTGCTGGGCTCCAGCGATCCCTCTGCCTCAGCCCTCCAAGTCAGAACTACAGGCATGCGCTACCACACCCGGCTAATTTTTGATTTTCATAGAGAGGAGGTCTTGCCAAGTTGCCCGGGCTGGTCTCAAACCCACGGGCTCAACCAATCCACTCGCCTTGGCCTCCCAAAATTCTGGGATTACAGGCTAAGCCACCGAGCCCGGCCTATTGTCTTGTTTTAGTTGGTCTCACTGAGAAGACTAACCTGAAACAATCTAGTCTATTTGATAGAGAAGGAACTTCTTCAGTATTATGTTTTATATGCCTACTCAAATTCAAGAGATATTGAGATATTGTGAATAAATGGTTGGATGTGAGTCTGGAATTCAAGTGGTAGTTCTTGGCTGGAAATAAAAATTTGGAAACTGTTAGTGTGTAGACACTACTTAAAAATATAGTAGATTGCTCTTCTAGGGAATGTGTATTGATAGAGTAAAAATTCTTTAGACTGGCTTCTGGGGAGACTGAAACAAAGTATCTTGTTAGCTAGGAGAAAACAGGAAAGTGTATACTAGAAACCAAGTTAAGAAAGTATAGGCCTTTGGGAGGCCTATTGGATTGCCTGAGCCTGTGGGTTCAAGACCTTGGGTTCAAGACCAGCCTGGACAACTTGGTGAGACCTCCTCTCTACAATAAATAAAAAATTAGTCTGCTGTGGTAGTGCGTACCTGTAGTTCCAGCTACTTGGAAGGCTGAGGCAGAAGGATCCCCAGAGTCCGGCAGGTTGATGCTGGGGTGGCTGTAAGCATGCCACTGCAGTCCAACCTGGGCTATGGAGTGAGACTCCGACTCAAAAAAAAAAAAATTAGTGTAGATTAAATTTTCTAAATAGATTATATGTCATTAAACAGATAATGTTCTATAATTTAAGCCAAACAATTGTGGGAACAAAGCAGCATAGTTTTTTCTTTCATTTCAGCCATAAAGAACTAGCACATAATAAAGCACATATCAGTGCAGTACCAATCAGACTGCAGTGTAAGATGGCTTGCCCTTGTATGGTATTAATGCCAGCATTCCTGTTTACCACAGATTCAGGGCTAGAAGGACGATTTTAACTCTGCTAGAGAATAGAAGACATGAGAATGAAGTGGGATGTCCTCTTTCCTCTAAAGAAGGTGTGAATGCCACCAATGTCTTGGCTGGCATGAGAATATATTTTAGTGTTTTGAAGAAATAGTTACAAAGGAGATTTGTCAGACTACTTAAAAACAAACAAATATGAGAACAATGTATCTGGGTGGTGTGGATTTAAAATAAAAACTTTATCTCTATTTTCCAAATTTTCTACAATGAGCATGTATTATTTGTATAATATAAATATATGTAGATAGTTGTTCTAACTTAAATACATTTTTAACTAAATTATTTTCCATAGAGAGAAGTTGCAGCTAACAGCCAGAATGGGGAGGAAGTTGTTCCTGCTTTGACTTTACGTTTCTTGATAACACAGCTGGAAGCAGCGCTTAGGAACATTCAGGCTACTAATTATACTGTTAAGTATTTTCTTTTTGAAAGTTTGCAATAATGGACTTGGTCAACCTTTTTCAATGAGAAAACAGCAAATACATACTTATTTCAAAACGTAGGCTAGTTGGTACTTTCCTCTTCTACCTCTGGAGGAAGGGTACGTGTACATTTATAGCCTCCCTGTGTCTTTTACTTTCTAACATAAATTTGTAATGTGCCTCTTCTAATCCCCTTCCCCGTCACAAAATTGTTCATCTTAAGAGAAACTTAAACTAATAGAAATAGGCTTTCCCAATTAGAAATGGAGAGTCATAAAGTTTAATAAGCCAGGTAGAAAGACAGATACTGTATAATGTCACTAGTATGTGGAATCCAAAAAAGTTGAACTCACAGAAGTAGAGATAGAAGTTGGTTACCAGTGTCTGGGGTGGGGGATGTGAGTTGAGGATATGTTGGTCAGAGGATACAAAATTTCAGTTAGATAGGAGGAATGAGTTCAAGAGGTCTATTGTGTATAGCACAGAGACTATAGTTAATAGCAATATATTGTCTTCTTGAAAGTTGCTAAGAAGAGTTTTTTTCTTGCTATAAAAATTATAAATATGTAAGGAAATACATGTATTAACTAGCTTGAATTAGTCATTCTCCAATGTATACATATTTCAAAACACCATGTTGTATATGATAAATATATATAATTTTTATTAATTTTAAAAAAGAATAAAAAATTCTATTCCGTGTTTTTAAACCCCAATTATTAAACAACTTCTCTCTCCTTTGATATTTCTGTACTTCTGAAAGTTGAAATTTCTATTAAACAATATGAGGAAAAAATGTCATCAAAAGTTAGACTCGATAATACAGGACATTAAAAGAAAAAATAAATTTTTTGCATAACTTGGATTAGTAAAGTCATCTAAGTGTTGCATACACTTAAAAAGATAAATTAAGGTTATCTTCAAAAAGGACTACTCAGGCATCAGAAAAACCAAAGACATATTATAGTGATATACAAGCAGGTAGAACAATAATCCTTATTTAGGATTCTAAGTATTAGTGTTCTAAAGGATGCTGTACGCCACTCTAAAGGAGATTCTAGATAGATTTGACTCCAGCAGAAACAAAAGGGGGACTGTATTTTGTAATCTCAAGTACTTCTGGGATATTGCAGGCTTCCTATTTTTCCCACTGACTAGATTGCCAGACAGTGAAACAAATCAATATAAAACCAAACTTACCAGTTGCTCATTGCTTAGCCTTCTCTACTTAGACATTACTTCAAAGATGAGTCATAGACTTAGAAATGAGTGAGTTCTCTTCCTTGGTAGTGCTTGTGAGCAGAACTGAAATTGTCATGATCAAAGCAGTCGACAGTGTCCAAATGGCTCTCTCTTGCCTCAAGGCCACCAAAAAGGGGCAGACAACCTTATAGGAGACAGCAGTGGCCTGTGTGAGTGTGGGAAGGGGAACAGAGTGCAGTTGCCAATAGCATCTCCATTCATTTGGTTCCGGTACTTGGAATGATCATTGATACTGAGAGTAAAGTAGGCAGGAAAAGGCAGGGGCTTTAGGTTAGAAATGTACTGATTACATCTTTAAATTCCAGAGTTTTTTCCTTCTGATTATTGCACTACCACAGTTCTGCATCTTACCTGTTCTCAAAAATGTTTTTATTTAGAATTGTGTGAGCCACAGGCCCTGTTGGGTTATTTATGAAATTGTTTTTTTTTTTTTTTTTTAATTACAAAATGATAGCTCACAGTTTAGTGTTTGCTGTATGACAGGCACTGTTCTAAGCACTTTGTAAGGTGTAGCTTATATACCCTTCATAAGTACCTCTTCTTATTATTTCCATTTTGTAGTTAGGAAACGGAGGCAGAGAGAGTAAATAATTTGCTAAAGTCACCAGATAGTAAGTAGTAAAGTCAGGAAACAATTCATGTAGTCTTGGCTCCAGAGTCTATGGTCTGAACTAGGATATTAAACTTCCTCTTCAAGGATGGTAATTTTAAGATGGAAACTATTCAGATGTTAAGAGTTTGTGTTCATAAACTCACTTAGTCCATTGAGATCAGACACATGTATATCTCCACTGAAACCAATTTGAAGCTAAACTTTTAACCCTAGTCAGTTTTCTCATAATTGTATACTATTGGTTAGAAGAGTTGTGCAAGATTAGAGAATACAGTTATATCAGCATAAAAAGAAAGCTTTTATCCTATAGATATGTATTATCCTATGTACTTGGAAAAATCTTGTTTATGGTACAGGGCAATCTCAATGAAAAAAGTTAACATGACAAAAGATGGTTATAATCTTCAGTCAGTATAGAGCTTATGAGCAGAGAAGTTCAGGGTTCTTCAAGAAACCAAACCAGTTTATGTTTTATTTACACACACACACACATCTGCAATTTATTATAAAGGAATATGTATGTGTACATGTGTGATTATTATGAGGAATTAGCTCATGTGATTATGGAGGCTGAGAAGTCACATGATCTGCCATTGTTACCAAGCAATGAGCTCACTGCATGACATGCATAGAAGCCAATAAATGGTATCAGCTTCTGAGAAAAGAAAAAGCTTTATTGCCAGTTAACTGGCAAGGAGACAGTAGGCAGCAACACTTAAATCTGTCTCATGGAGCTGGTCATCTGGGGGCAAATTTTATTGGCAGAAGTAACTATTGGGGAGATAGAAAAATGCAGTGAGGCACAATTCGATTGGGTCATGCAAAGAGGGATGGTAATGTATCCTTCATCCAAGTACTTTGGTTCTACCTGTGACTTATCCATATTGCTGGCTCCAGGGTCATGAATGAGGCACACTGGTTCATCTGGGTATGCTCATGTTATATGACTTGCAACCTAGAGGTCTGTTTTACTGAAATACAACTTGTCAATTTGTTACTAACAAAGTTGAACCAGATTGAACTGATTCTATGGTTACACTTCTGCAAGCTGGAGACTCAGACAAACTGGTGGTATAATTCAGCCCAATTCCAAAGGCCTAAGAACTAGGGGAACCAATGGGTGTAAATCCCAGTTTGAGTGCAGGAGAAGGTGAGATAAGATGTCCCAGCTCAAACAAATAGGCAGAAAGCAAAAGGGACAAATTCTTTTTTCCTCCACCTTTTGTTCCATCCAGGCCATCAATGTATTGGATGATGCCCATCCATATTGGGGAGTACAATCTAGTGAGTGCACTTATTCAAGGCCTAATTTCATCTGGAAACACTCTCACAGACATGTTTTATTTACACACACACACACACCCCCCTATGATTTGTTATAAAGGAATATATATGTATACATGTGTGATTTATTATGAGGAATTAGCTCATGTGGTTATGGAGGCTGAGAAGTCAAATGATCTGCCATTGTTACCAAGCAATGAGCTCACTGCATGGCATGCTTAGATGCCAATAATACTCAGAAACAGTGTTTAATCTGGGTACCCTGTAGCCAGTCAAGTTGATGCATAAAATTAACCATCACAGATAGAATGGATAATAATATTTTTCTCCATAGACAATTTTTTAACTTTTGGGATACTTATAGATTCACAGAAGTTACAACTGTACAATATAAAAGTACAGAGAGGTCCTGGTGTACCCATCACGCAGTTTCCCCCAGTAGTTACTTCTCATATTATTACAGTACTATACATATCAAAACCAGGAAGTTGACATTGGTACAATGGTGGTGTCTCCAAGACCACCCTTAGGTTCAGAGATTTGCTAGAACTGGACTCAGCTTATAGTTATAGCTAAGATTTATTAAAATGATATAGTAAAGATACATAGTAGGTCACAAGGGAAAGACAGGCAGAATCTGAAGGAATTTATCTGCATACTTCTTTATATTTTCTTTCTCCCATGAGGAGTTACTGTAGCTACATGTGTAATGTTTCTGCCCAGGGAAACCCAATAGAGATTCAGTGCTCAACGTTTTTACTGGGGATTGGTCATCTAGGTACCCTCTGCCTAGCATGTATCAAAATTGTAGACTTCTAAAAGAAACTCTCAGCATAAATCACATTGTTTGTGCAAATAGTCTAGGCACAGTGAGCCAAAATTCAAGTTTCCAGACACCAGCCAGTATCAGCCTTGCAAGTACACCTTAATAAAGATAATAACTTCAGGCCAGCTATGTTAACTTTTTAATTCACAGGAGTATATATTTCTATGCCATTTTATCACAAGTGTATATTTATTTGTGTTAACCACTGCTACAACCAAGGTTAAAGAACTATTCCATCCCCACAGAAATCTCTCTTATGTAGCCTTTATGGTCATACCCACCGCTCTCCTTCTACACATTCCCTGATCCTTACTTTATCTTGTTCTCAGTAATTTTTCATAGACAATTTTTAAATGAAAGAAATGTTCACATTTTGATTTTTTCATTGAAGTGATAGCTTTATGTTTCTACTGTTACAACAAAACCCATGTGGGGAGAGTAAAGGATTTTGATTTAAGAGATCATTGTATTTTTTTAAGGTGAATGATAGAGACTTCGGTGTTCATTGTGTTATTATCTAATGTGTTCTTGATTCTTAAAATATTACATGAGAGAAAGGGAGAATTTTTGAAAAGTTCAACATAACAAATTTTGATGGCATTTACTCTCATTTTCTTTAATCGAATTTTAATGTTTTATTTTGAGATTATTAACCTGTTTCTTTTTCTGGATCACATTATCAAATACACCTAAAATACATTCTCTATAGTTATTATTAGATGATTGATAATTTAATAATTTTTACTATTTTTAATAATTATTAAATAAGCCTATGATATTTAATTAAGCTTGTTGTATTGAAAAATATATTAGTCTAAATAACCAATTAACATTTTTTTCTTTTTAGGCACACCAGATGAATATTGGTTATTATTTGACATTATTATTTTTATATGGGGTAGCACTCACTGAAAGAGGAAAGAAAGACGTATGTAGCATGTGTTATTTGCTTGTTATAAATCTTTTAATATACAGTGACTTCACTTTAGCAAATAAAATTATTTTTAAAAATTCTTTAAAAACTGAAACCATTTAGTGACTTTTCTGTTATATATTTATAATCTAGAGTAATTATGCCAAAGATTATATTGAGAAATTAAAAATACTAATAAAAGTAACTATTAATATTATCTTATACTTTCAATTATTATAGCTTTATCTTTTAAAATGCTTACCATTTATGTAAATAGAAAATTGTTTAGCTTCTTTCACATTTATATTTAATCCATTTTCTAGTGTAATTTAATCTCTCTGGTTTTAATCTTACCCTTTTTGTAAAATATGAGCTTTGCCTTAAATTCTTTGTTGAATAAACAGAAGTACAAATAAGTAAAAATATGAAAATTAACTAGATAATTTCTAAGCATTCTTTTGAACTTAACTCTTTCTGATTTTTAATGATTTCTTATATTTTTTTGTAACTTTTTTTAAACATTTTTCTTTCCAAATATATATCTTCACTTGGTTTCACATGAAGTATATAAATATGACTTGTTAATTAGGTAAAGTAGAATTTATAAGTACCTAAACTGAAATATTTATATTTTAAATAATTTCATGTCATATTAGTTATTTAGTGTGATGAGAATATTTTAAAGCAAGGCCGTGCAGCATTTTTCTGACTTTTTCCCCCCCAGAGAGACTGAAGACATTATGCTTGTTTTATTAATTATAACTGAAGCATCTATTAGAACAGACTTTGATTTTTACTTCCTAACTTACATTGTTTATGATTAAGATGGTGCATCCTTGAAAGAGACTATATCTATGGTCACTTATTTTCTGTTTGAAAAATTATGAAGAAATGTGCTCTAACTAGGAATAATGATAAAGAATTGTGCTCTAATAGTCATCAGAAAAGCTCTTATTTTGGCTCGTAATATCTGCCAGTTTTTTTATGTATGTATAAAAGTATGTATGTATTTATTTAAGAGAGGGTCTTGCTATGTTGCCTAGGCTAGACTAGAAATCCTAGGCTCAAGTGATCCTCCTGCCTCAATCTCCTGAGTAGCTGGAACTATAGGCATGTACTGCCGTGCCTGGCTAATTGCCAAGTTTTTGTTGTTTTTTTTTTTTTTTTTGAGTTGGAGTCTCACTCTGTTACCCAGACTGGAGTGCAGTGGTCACTCCCGGCCACTGGAGCCTCAACCTGCTGGGCTCCGGTGATCCTTCCACCTCAGCCTTCCGAGTAACCGGAATTACAGGGATGCGCTACCATGCCCGGCTGATGTTTTAAATTTATTGTAGAGATGAGGTCTCGCCAAGTTGCCCAGGCGGGTCTCGAACTCTCGGGCTCAGGCAATCCACTCACCTCAGCCTCCCAAGGTGTGGGATTACAGGCTGAGCCACCGAGCCCGGCTTATTGCCAGTTTTAGATACAAAAATTGTTTTAACTTTCACTTTGAAATATTAGATAAAGAAGATCTTAAATGTGTTTGTAAATAAAATCTTTCAAACACTTTCTACATGATCTTTGTGATCACATACAAAGATGCTAGGATTAGAAAGATAAATAAATGACTTGATGACTGGATTTTTTTTTTTTTTTGATTTGGAGTCTCACTCTGTCACCCAGACTGGAGTGCAGTGGTCACTCCCAGCCACTGGAGCCTCAACCTGCTGGGCTCCGGCGATCCTTCCTCCTCAGCCTTCCAAGTAGCTGGAACTGCAGGTGCGCGCTACCACGCCTGACTAATTTTTGATTTATTGTAGAGGTGAGGTCTTGCCAAGTTGCCCAAGTAGGTCTCACCTCAGCCTTTCAAAGCGCGGAATTACAGGCTGCGTTTGGGAAATAATTGTTTATAGTAAAAGAGAAAAAAAATTCTGTCACATTAGCCAAACCTAGTTTTATGTTACTACAGGATTATACAGATGCTGAGAATAAATTTCTGGTGATGAAGATGGTGATCCAAGACAATGAAATTTGTGAAAACTTTATGTCTTTAGTCTATTTTGGACGTGGTTTACTTCGATGTGCTCAGAAAAGGTGAGAATTTTAATTAATGAGTAGATCCTGTCTGTCACCTTTCACCGTTGTGAAATGGGAACTAATTATGCACAGTATACCAGGGAAAATGATATTTGTGCCTACTGGTTTGTTTTTTCTTTTTATCTGTTCCTACAGATAATAATTTTCTCAGTGCATTTGAGAATATTAGATATCAAACTTAAGAGGCCATGGCAACAGGAGGCAGACTAGCATTGATATTAGGAAGTTGGAATCTGAGAGACCTGGGTTCAGAAGCATTTTCTATCACTTACCCAAGGAAACTTAATGTTGTTAAGCCTTATATATTTTTTTCTTATGTCTAAAATGGGATTAATAATAGTGTTCACTTCATAAGGATGTTGCAGGTGACTAACACAGTGCCTAGGACACAAAAATACTGTACTTAATAAATAAGTGATGATTAGAGTTATTAGTATTATCACCACTGATTTAGAGTAGTTTTTTTTTCTTAATCTTTATTTAAATGGCTTTGGGGGGGCCAAATCATTTTTGGTTACATGGATGCATCCTCTAGTAGACTACATGGATGCATCCTATAGTAGTGAAAAAGTCCAGACTTTAAGTGTACCTTCCACCTCTATCTGTGCACATTGTATCTGTTAGGTGATTTTTCATCCCTCCCCTCCCCCTTCTGAGTCTTCAGTGTTCATTATGCCATTCTATATGCCTTTACAGTTCCTTCGTTTAGCTCCCACTTGTAAATGAGAGCACGCAGCATTTGGTTTTCTGTTCTTGCATTACTTCTCTTAGAACTGATAGTCTTTAGTACCATCCATGTTGCTGCAAAAGACATTATTTCATGGAATAGTTTTTTAAGGTATAAATGAACTTATAAAGAATTGAATGGGTCCACATGCTGAGTTTTGGTAGTATTGGGTACTACATATTTTAAGAAGGTAAAATTATATAGAGGAACCTATATGGATTATCTGTTTACTTTCTATATGGAGATCCTTAACCATTTGTAGCATCATTCATTCTTTTTATTTATTAAACGTCTCTTATATTACAGAGACTGCGTTAGGTGTCAGAGATAAAATGGTTTACAAAATAGTCCCTGTCCTCATGTTACTGAAAGTATAGTGAAGGATATAGACATTAATTAAATAATAAATCATAAAATTGTCAATTAGGAAGTGTGATAAAGAGCTGTGAAGGAAAATAGAATGAACAGCAAAAGTCTTTACTGGAGCCCCAGTCTGGTTCTGGGAATCAGAAGTCTCCCTGGGGAAATACTGTTCAACTGACATCTGAAGCATAAGTGAAGAAAGTTCACTTGGGCAAACTCTTATGAAGGATTACTGTTGAGTCAAACCATTGGATCCCTACAAGTGTGACCTATGAGGTAGTTCCCTGATTCTTTGTAACATTTATCTCCCATACTCCTGCATGCTTGTTTACTATTAGGGTACCCAGAAGACATCTCACTTCCTGTTCACTAGGTCTGAGCAGCATGATGCCAGCAGAATGTCAAGATGATCAAAATTCCTCAGACTTTACTATGACAAAGTAAGAGAATTAGCACAACCTGAGCTGTTCTTCCCCAGATATGAAAACTGCTTTTTGTTCTCTTAGAGATAATTATCTCTTGGAGATAATTCATTTTTCAGATTATTGACACTAGAATGCTTAATTGTATGGCTGCATCATTACTATCATCCTGGCCTGTAGCCACCACTGAGCTCCTCAAATACACTGGTGCCTTTTCACTCTGTATTTGCGACTGTATTAATGAATGAACTGTTCTCTGAGCCTTTCCAGGAACATTGTCTACTGGTGGGTTCTGTGTTTTTACATAGTAAGTTCATTCTAACATTCTCAACTCCCTCAGTTATCCTGCCAATAAATTTTCAGCATTTCTGCCTCGCTTACAGTAAGACCATCATTCTGTCCAAGTTTCATGGAACCTTCTCAGCAGCATGTGAGGACTGGCTTCAGGTATCCTAGCTAGGAAGGAGAATCTTGAATGAAGGAGCAGTTGTTGCTTATCATGTACCCATCCCTATCCAGCCTGTGTTTATCTTTGGTTCAGCACTTTTAAGATCCACTCCCACACATTTCCCTGCCAGTACATCCTAGTCAGGTTCTACCCTTCTTATGATGAATAAACTTTCCTCCTGGGTAGATTCTGTTTTCTCCCTTGGCTTTCCACTTGACCCTCACTTTATTTGGTCTAAAGGCAGTGAGTAGAGGTAGGGGAGCATCTTGAAGAAGAAGGTATCATCTTTTGAAACATGCATCTCAGATAATATTTTTACACAGTCTCTAAGTAGAAGTAAGCTGCTCTCCTGTAGCAAGGAAGAGGTCTTCACCAGCCAGAGGGTTCAGGGGGAGTTTAGAGATTCAGTGTTTCCAAGCACATTTTCCTAAATATCCTCATTTCAGATCTCAGGATCCACTTATTTCCTATCAAGTCTCTGATTTTAGCATAGCAGTTTTGTGGAGGCTGTGTTTTCGTCTCCTTTGCAGTTGTTCTATCCTTATGATTAAATACTGGGCCTCATTTTCATCATAGCCTGCACTCTGTCTAGAGGAGTTGAGGTTTCTTTAAATGTTACCATAGAGACCTTCTAGCTTTCACAGTGTGTCCTGAGTTGATAGTATTGCTGAAGCTGTGCTTTTAGTATCATTTGCAGTTTTTTCCACTTTACAATTAAATCTGGGCCTTATTTTCAGCACAGATTATCTTTTTGCCTCTAGGAGTTGAGGGTCTCTTTAAATGCTGCCATAGAGGCCTACTGGCTTTGACAGTGTGTCCTGAGTTAATAGTTGGCTGACTTCTGCCTGTCATTCTCTTTCTTCAAGGCCTCCAAGACAGTTAACAAAAGCCAACCAACTCTACAATCCCTTTAATTACCATGGCCCCCATACTGTTCAAGCTTGAGCTACTACATAATCTAGTGCCTCCCCTTCCACCTGTGTTTCGTCCCAATCTACCACAGGTGAGAGACCTAGTATTTGTATTTCTGTAGCATGCCAGAGGTTATCACCATCCTACTTAGCACAAAAAAATGGATTACTTGTTGTCTCATTGGTTAACCATCCAATTCCACAGTTCCATTCAAACTAATCTTATTTTAAAATGCCTTGCAGATGTAATGGAGGACTGCTAGAATTTCATAAAAGCTTACAGGAAATTGGAGATCCAAATGATCATTGGTTTGACATTGATCCCACAGAAGATAAGGATTTATCTACAACTTTTGAAGTAAGAAAATTGAGAAATTTAAGAAATTATTTCATTTGTGATTAATCAGGGTTATCTTTGATAAAGTATGAACCAACTATGTCATATTCTGTAGCAAGCACATTACTTTATTGGGCAATTAACTTTTTATGTAAGAAACAACTTTGATTGTATTACGTAGTATGGAATGTATGATTCAACAGGAAGAGAGAAGTGAGGTAGCAGTGCCAGCATTTTCAAATTAGGTAAATTAGCCATATTAGATGAGTATTTTGCATTGTTAGAGCCAAATGAAATAGCTAACTTCTTTTTTTCTAATTATACTTATCATTATATTATTGTTGATTTAAATTACAAAATACTAAATGCTTAGTTCAGAAATCTTGGAAAATATAAAAATGCCCAAAGATAAAAGTGAAAAACATTCATATCTCTTCAAGTGGAGGAACCATGGTTAGCATTTTCATTTATATCTTTGCAGACACACACACGTATAAACACTCATACCTTTACTTTTACTAAATTGGTATGACGATATAACACATTTATTTGTTGTCTAGAAATATATAGTATTTTTAATTTCTCAGTAGATTATTATTACAATGTGATTTTTACATAGTCCATTATGTAACTGTGCTTTAATTTTCTCAACCAGCTCCTAATATTGGACATTTAGTTTATTCTAAACATTCCAGCTTTTCATTCTTATGTAAAGTGATCTTTGCATATTTCTTATATCATTCCATTAGAATAAATTTCTAAAGGAAGAAATGTGAAGCAGTTGTTCACATACTTATAAAGTAGTTATATATCTCTATATTTCCTCTCAGATAGTTTGTACAATTTTATATTCTTCAGAGTTTCCATTTACCCATATCTTTTGGGTATTCTTTACACTTTGGGTAACTTTTACCCAATCTGTTTAGCCATATGTGTCTCGTTTAAATTTGTTTAATATAGGCCATTGCCACTACCATTGCTAGGCCATTGCAGCCATTGCCTTGCTAAGCTGTGGTGTGGCAATGTACTCTTTGAGCTATGGCCAGGCCATGTTTCCTGACTTTGGCTCCCTCCCTTGCCTTGGGGAGGTGAATCTCCTCTTTTTCTCTCTCTAATTTAGTTTATAAATAATCTATATTTTCTAATCTAAAAAAATGTGTTAAATATAATAATAGCTACACAGGTTTTTCTTGGTTAATGTTTGAATGACATCTTTTTTCAAACTTTTGCTTTAAATCTTTTTGATTCCTTATATTCTAGTTGAATTTATGGCTAAAAGCATTTCCCAAAAAAGAAATATTTTATAAAAATACAAAGTTTAATTTTCCAGGAAGTTTATAATAGCTCAATATTTGCATATACTTAGTAATATAGCCTCAAAAATATATGGGACAAAGTTTGTCAGAATTGAAAGGAGAAATAAATTCCCAATCACAGTGGAATATTTTAATATACCAATCCAAGTAATCAGTAGAATACACAGGCAGCTTTTACCATTGTTAAGATAATCATATGACTTTTAACTTTGACTTGCTAAAGTAATAATTTTAAGCCGGGCTCGGTGGCTCAGCCTGTAATCCCGCGCCTTTGGGAGGCTGAGGTGAGTGGATTGCCTGAGCCCGTGGGTTCGAGACCCGCCTGGGCAGTGAGACCTCATCTCTACAATAAATCAAAAAATCAGCCGGGCATGGTAGCGCATGCCTGTAATTCCAGCAACTTGGAAGGCTGAAGCGAAAGGATCGCCGGAGCCCAGCAGGTCGAGGCTGCGGTGGCTGGGAGCGGCCACTGCACTCCAGTCTGGGAGACAGAGTGAGACTCCAACTCAAAAAAATAAAAATAAAAATAAAAAATAAATAAAGTAATAATTTTACATATTTTTAAAGCATTAAACTTCTACCTATCTAAAGCAGTTCCTGTTTGGGCTTGACTGTTTTATTCTTTTTCTTCCTCCTTTGAAAATATCTTTCTTTTCTTTATTATTCAACTTTTTAAGTGAAATTTTTTAATGCAAAGAAATACACACATGCAATTTGCCAAATAATATTAACAGACTTAATAATTAAGAGCCCCTGCTCTGTCATCTCTGACTGAAATTCAGCTTTCTAGAGGTAATTTTTTCTGACTTTCTAGGCATTTTTCTTCAGTATTTACCTATTTAAAAATCAATACTGCTATTTAAAATTTTTCTTTATTTTAGGTATTATCTTTTGCTTCTTCACTGTGGAAGATGAGGCTTTAGCTCTTTTATACACCCTCCTTACTGGGCCCCCACTCACCCACACACATACCCACTTTCCTTCCCTTATTCTACCAGTAGTTATAAGTTTTTATTAAATTGGCCTTAGGGTGTCCCTTCATTCTCATCCTGTGGATTTTTTCTAGCTTCTTTCTATGTAGAATCCTCTGTTTCTCTGAAATCACATTTTCCTCTTTTTAGAAGTGTTACATCCTTGTTTTGATGGTGCAGCTCCTCCAGCAGCTTATAAAAGTGTGATGTTTGGGAGGAAAAATTTTCGAGACACTTCAAGTCTCAAAATAATTTAACTTTTTATACTTTATTCATATCCTACCTGGGCACAGAATTGTAGGTAGAATAAATTTTTTAAAGTATTTTTCTGTTATCTTCTGGCTTCTAATATTACTTTTGAGAAATCTGATGTCATTCTGATTTTTAACCTTTTTGTATGACTGTTTCATTTTTTTTATTTCTGAGAATTTTTAAGGATATTATGTATGTCCAAGTGTGTTCTGAGCTTGTTTTTTGTTTTGTTTGTTTTGGGACATTTTCTGTTTTACATATTTGATAATATCTTCTTAATTTTCTCTTTTTCTTTCTGAATAACTTATTATTCAGATGCTTTACTGAGTCTAAGTTTCTTATTTCTTTTATATGTTTTATATTTTTTCTTTTTGTTCTACTTTCTGGGAAATTTTCTCAACTTCATCTTTTTGCATAAGGCTGATATCATGACATAATTTATAGAGGGTATTTATCATGTATTATACCCTCAGTTTATTAGCAGTAATGCTATTTGAAATTTAGTAATACTGTTCCTCTAAAGGATAAGTATAAAGGACCTTGTCTAATCACTTAGACCTGATAACATATTCCACCTACATTTAATAAGCATTTTTAAATGAGAAATTATATTCCAATTTGTAAGTCTTGGACATAAGAAACATGCTTCTGAACCATACTTTTGCCTATTATTGTGGTGAGTTACATATTTCACCACTACAGTAGTTCCACTGCCAACATGGTATCCTTAGGAGCCAGTTTCAGCAAAGACTTGCCTGGAGTCCAGTGATTTATGGTATCTCTGTGTGTATATATTAGAGCAATTCATTCTTGATAGGAATATTCCAGGTGTTCTGCTATGGGTTAGGATGCTAAAGAGAAGTATATCTTAAAACATGATACTTCTCTCCTTTCTCTATATTATTCAGTAAGAAATTCTGCTTTTGTGCCTTTCCACACGTTGTTTACTTTGAATGAGGGATATGTTTTATTAGTATTTAAAAATATATGCATATATGCAAATCCTTCAAAAAGGGATTGGGTATGGATATGTTTATTGAGGTAAAACATTAAAAGTGGAATTTATTATTATTAAGAATTATTTTTGTTTTTAAAATCTAGCATATTCTTAACAATTTTATCAAGACAACTGAGAGTAATATAATGAAGCAGACCATTTGTAGTTATCTAGATTGTGAGCGATCTTGTGAAGCTGACATTTTAAAGAACACCAGTTATAAGGTACTGTAATCAACTAATTGAGTTTTTAAAAAATGTGATTAAAAATTAAATAGATAAAATTGTATCATGTATTAAAGTATTATTTAAAGGGTGTTTAGTTTAATTATTAATGGCAAAGTAGTTGAGAAGTTATTTGACTATTTCTAAGAACTTAGATTCAAAGTGAGCAAGGAATTATTTATATTTGAGTTGTAAAAGAATAAATTGGTTTTGTTAAGATTTTTGTAAGATGTGAATGTTAGAGATTGAGAATAGTAGCATTTTACTAAGGAGAAGGGCTATCACTCTACAGGAATTATGTTACAAATAAGTGATCATTATCTCTTATATGGGCTTTGACAGGGAAATTGTAAACTGCCCTGATTTGAAGAAATTCAGCAATCAGAATACTTCTGATACTTTGTAAAATCACAAGATAGGATAGAAGATGTGCCTGTCAGTGCAAATTAGACAACAATTTCCATAAGATAACTGAAGTCTCAGTTGTACAGTAAATGGGGTAGGCGGGGAGAAGGAGAAGGCCAAGATCTGTTCATTAAGACAGAGATTGGAAATTGAGACTGGTGAGATGCAGTGCTTAAGGCTAGACATGTTTGATATTGGTTTAGGTGATATGGTCCTAAGGTTACCCAGAAATACTTCAGGATTCTAATCAAATGAACAGCATGTAGAAGCAAAAAGTTCTGAGCACATATTTAGATTTTTGTCATCAAAGCAAAATTTAAAGGAAGTAGGAAAATCATTTCTAGGGAGGGCACACTGGGAAGGACAAGAAATCTATACCCTGGGATAATGCAGTAGTAACTCAGGAGCTAACTATCACAAGACAGCAAATCTGAGTTCTCATGTTTGGTAACAGACGAGATTCAGGGAATAATAGTATGAATTTGATACTGGAGGAGAAGAGGAATGTAAAAATGGAGATGAAGAGGGTAGATAGCATGTTCCTCTACAAAGGTCACTCGCTTGTTTTCTGATACTTTTTTTGCATAGCATATTGGAAAATATTGTTCAAATTATTGACTTGTTTTAGTGTTCTAATTTTACTATCTTTAATGATATAAAAATGGCTTATAGAGTTATTTGGTGATCTTGTTGATAAATTTTGAATTCCATGGAAAATTCATCTAGTTATAGAATAATTTTTAAAGTGACTTAAGGTGGTATTTTCCATATCTACCTAAATTACTATTTCCTTATTAACAGCTTACTTTTATTTTTTTCCAGGGATTTTTTCAATTAATGTGCAGTAAAAGTTGCTGTATTTATTTCCATAAAATTTGCTGGAAAAAGTTCAAGAATTTAAAATACCCAGGTGAAAATGATCAGGTATTGTATACCTTCTTAAAGCTTTACTTATAGAGTTTCTTTCTTTACCCTTTCCTTGTTTTTCCTCTTTGCCTTCATTTTTTCCTGTTCATATCTTTCTTTTTACTTCCTTTTTTTTTTCTTTTTTCCACTTCTTCTTTTGTTTTTTCCCAATTCGCTCTGATACTTATTCTCCCACCACTATTTATTCATCATCATCCTCGTTTATTAAACAGTTCTTTGTAGACTAGTTGTTTTGCTTAGTGATTTCTATCAGTTTGTTCCTTTCCCTTTAGAAGTTTATACTCTTGAGACTAAAAAATACTGTTGCAGGTATACATATAAAGGACATAAAATTAATGACTAAGATTGCTTAATAAACACAAAAATAATAATTATACAATTTTAGGGATAATTTCTGTTTAAGAGGTGGAGAAAAACGAGGATAAATTTTACAGTCCAGCTTTGATGGGCAGCATGGTTGGTTCCATGTTTTTGCTATTGTGAATAGAGCTACAGCAACCATGAATGTGCATTTTTGGTAGAATGACTTGAGTTCTTCCGGGTATATTCCCAATAGGGGGATTGCTGGGTCATATGGAAGGTCAATTTCTAGTTCTTTCAGAAATTGCCACACTGTCTTCCAAAGAGGTTGCACTAGTTTGCATTCCCAACAGCAGTTAAAAGCAATCCTTTTTCTCCGCATCCTCGCCAGCATATGTTGTTGTTTGTTTTATTAATGATGGCCATTTCTACTGGGGTTAGGTGGTATCTCAGTGTGGTTTTGATTTGCATTTCTCTGATGGTGAGTGAGGCTGAGCACTTTTTCATGTGTCTGTTGGCTGCCCATATATCTTGTACAGTACCAGGCTGTTTTGATTTTTGTAGTCTTACAGTAAAGTTTGAGGTCTGGAGGTGTGATACCTCCTGCTTTGTTTCTTTTGCTAAGGATTGTTTTGTCTATTCATGGTCATTTATGCTTCCATATGAACTTCTGTATTGTCATTTCCAGTTCTGAGAGGAATGATGTTGGTAATTTAATGGGTATTGCATTGAATCTGTAGATTGCCTTTGGTGGGATGAACATCTTAATGTTGATTCTTCTTATTCATGAGCATGGACTATTTTTCCATTTGTTTGTGTCTTCTTGGATTTCCTTGAACAGTGTTTTGTAGTTCTCATTGTAAAGGTCTTTCACTTCTAGTTAGCAAGATGCCATGGTATTTCAATTTTGTGTGTGTGACTATTGTGAATGGAATTTTGCTTTTTATTTGCTTCTCTGTCTGCTTGTTTTTGGTGTATAAGAATGCAACTGTCTTTTGCACATTTATTTTGTACCCTGAGACTTTGCCGTAGTCCTTTATCAGTGCAAGCAGGTTTTTGACAGATTCTCTTGGATTTTCAAGGTATAGGATCATATCGTCAGCAAAGAGGGATAACTTGACTTCCTCTTTTCCTATTTGGATACTCTGATTTTCTTCTATTGTCTAATTGCTCCAGTTAGGACTTCCAGTACAATGTTGAACAAGAGGAGTGAGAGTGGGCAGGCTTGTTTTGTTCCAGTTTTCATGGGAAATGTTTCCAGTTTCTGTCCACTTAGCAATGTGCTAGCTGTGGGTTTATCGTAGATGGCACTTACTATTTTGAAGTGTGTTCCTTCTATACCTAGGTGTTTGAGGGTTTTAATCAAGAAGGGATGCTGGATTTTAACAAAAACTATTTCTGCATCTAATGATATAATCATGTGGTTCTTGTTTTTACATCTCTTAATGTATTTAATTACATTTACGGTCTTGCAGATGTTGAACTAGCCCTGCATCCCGGGGATGAAGCCTACTTGGTCATGGTGGATGATTTTTGAGATGTGTTTTTGGATCCAATTTGCGAGAATCTTGTTGAGGATTTTGCATCTATGTTCATAAGAGATATTGGCCTGTAGTTCTCTTTTTTGTTGGATCTTTACCCCGTTTGGGTATCAGTGTGATGTTAGCGTCGTAAAATGATTTAGGGAGAATTCCATCTTTCTCAATTGCCTGGAATACTTTTAATAGGATTGATATCAGCTCCTCCTTGTACATTTTGTAGAATTCTACTGGAAAGCCATCCAGTCCCTGGCTTTTTTTGTAGGTAGTTTTCTTATGACAGAGTCAATTTCCTGGGTAGTTATTGGTCTATTTAGTGTCTCAATGTCTTCTTGTTTCAACCTGGGGAGGTTGTGTGATGTCAGAAAGTCCTCCATTTCATTTAGGTTATCAAGTTTGTTTCCATATAGGTGTGCATAGTAATCTCTGATAACCTTTTGTATTTCTTTGAAGTCAGTTGTGATTTGATACTTTTTATTTCTGGTTGTGTTTATTTGGGCTTTTTCTTTCTTTTTCTTGGTCATTCTGTCTAGGGGTTCATCAATCTTGTTAATTCTTTCAGAGAACCAACTTTTTGTTTTGTTGATGTTTCCTATATTTTTGTCTTCTGTGTCCCGCATTTGAGCTCTTATTTTGGTGATCTGGTTTCTTCTGCTAAAGTTAGAGTTCTGGTGGTCTTCTCTTTCCAGCTTCCTTAGGTGATTTGTTAGGCAGTCAACTTGTGATCTTTCTTGTGATATGTGTTCATAGAAATATAAATTCCTCTCTTAGAGCTGTTTTCATGGCGTCCCAGAGGTTTTGGTAAGATGTTTCTTCATTTTCATTTGTTTCCAGGAATCTTTTAATTTCTGTTTTGATTTCATTGTTGACCCAGTAGTTGTTCTGCATCATGCTGTTAGTGTCCATGTCTCTGTGGGCTTTGGGAGAATTTTGTTGGTGTTGATATTTTATTCCACTGTGGTCTGAAAAGGTGCATGGTAATATTTCAACCTTATGGAATTTTAGACTCAACATTTTTATTCTTTTTTCCCCCTGGAATCCTCATTTGTCTGATAGAAATTCAGTAATCCTTTTTACACTCAATTAGTACATTTTACTTGAAGTTGCTTTCCCTGGAACAGCAAATACATTATAGTGACTTGAAGATTTTGAAGTAGAAATGATAAGGGAGAAAAGTGAAACTATACATTTTAAGTAGGATATTCACTGATATATGAAATGGACCATCTTAAACAGCTCCCAAATGTTTATTCACATCTTTCAGTTTACTATCTAGCAACATCTGCTTCTAATGCTGTTTATTTAGATATAATCAGATTTTCATATGAGTGATTTTTTTCCATTTTTATTGCTTTTTCTATTAATAACTTTAGAGTTTCAGTGGGAAAAAATGTTTGAAGGAAGGATGTACAGGTGACATGGTAAGGATGCTGCAATGTGATATACCTGGAATTGTTAAAATTTTGGTAGGTATCTCATTTTTATTTTTCTTTCCTTCATTGAAAAAATGTTTTTTATTCGGAACAGATTTGGGAATCATAATAGAATTTTAGTGATATTCTCTTTGATGGTGACTGAACTCTGATTTTATTGCTATGATTTATCCAAAGTAGAACTTAAGTGATCTTTAAGAACAAGAAAATTAAAAATTAGAGAGAAGAAGAGACAAAACATACCAGTGAGGAGAATATCTTGAACCACCTAAGGTTAAAAATAATTTTAAATTTTCTGCACCTCTTTTAGTCTGTTAATAGCTTCCTATGAAACTAGCTATAAAACATCACATATAGTACCTGATCTATAACATATCCTCAGATAATATCCATTTTATTTTTGTTTCTGATTTATTGTAGAGATGAGGTCTCACCAAGTTGCCCAGGCGGGTCTCGAACCCGTGGGCTCAGGCAATCCACCACCTCAGCCTCCCAAAGCATGGGATTACAGACTGAGCCACTGAGCCTGGCTTCCATTTTTTTTTAAATTAGTGAAATATCTAGTTGAATTTTTTATTTTATAAAAAAATAAGCGAAAACGATGAACAGAAATGTATCTTATTTATTTATCTTTAGATATACTGCTTTTGTATTTAAGATTTGGCATTTAAGTCCTATAATGATATAAAGTAGTTCTACTTTTCAAGATTAACTCTTAATTTGTTTTTTGATCAGGATTGTTTATTATTCACCTTGTTATTTCTGTTTTATTTGTTTTTATTCACTGTGGCTTCATTATCAATGCCTCTTTTCAAATGTTAAGACTAATAAAAAACATTAAAGAATTTTAAAAGTTGAAATACTTTAGGGCTTTTTTTTTTTCTTTCTATTACCTGCAGTTTGAAGTTATAAGAAAAGATGAATATGTAACCATTGAAAATTTAGGAGCAAGGTAAGCTTGAAATAAAATATTCTGGGTTTTTTTTTTTTTTAGCATGTATGTATTTTTTTAGTTATTTCCTTCTTCTGTATTTCTGTCACCTGTTGGAACTCCATTATTTCAAGGTAGTATTAAGGTATGTGAAAAAAACAGTATTTAATTGTCATTTATATCCTTCTCTGTTCTTCTTGTAGATTTCACATCTAAAGCAGGGAAGGAAAAATTATATGGATACTTTTCCCTTACATTGAAAATAATCGTCTTCTTTAATTAAAACATATTTTTCTTAGTTATTTAGTTCGATTTAGAATAAAAACTTTCTCTCATCTTTCAAAACTTATTTAGGTCAGAAAAACTTGTGTCACAATTAGAATCTTCCTGTTTCTTCTATGAGAAAACTGTATTGCAGAAATTATAAGATGGGAATTAATAGACATTGCTATTGAAATAGAAGTTGTACTGAAATTAGAGTGGTATCTATTAAAATTAAAAATTTCAATATAAAAAGGTCTCCTAATTCACTGATTCTCTTTTCTGTTTAAATTGTAAATTTCTACCATTTTTCAGTCTGTCAGGGACGTTGCATTGATATCTAAGATATCAGTTTTCCCTTGAAGTTAATGAATACCAAATCTGTATCTCTAGCAGAGATCTCTCTTCTAAAATCTTGACCTTATATACCTACCTACATGCTGAATATCTCCGTTTTTATTTTTCACAAATATCAACAGTCCAGCATGCTCAAAACTGGACTAGTGATCTTTCCAATGCTATTCTGTAATTTTTTAAAAAATGTATTAGATGGCCAAGTGCAGTGGCTCACATCTGTAATCCAGCACTTTGGGAAGTTGAGGCAGGAACTCAATTCAAGTTGAGAATTGCTTGAGCTCAGGAGTTTGAGACCAGCCTAGGCAACATAGCAAGACCTCATCTCTACAAAAAAAAAAAAAAAAATTAGCCAAGCTTGGTGTTGCATGCCATGGTCCCAGCTACTTGTAAGGTTGAAGTGAAAGGATTGCTGAGTTCCAAAAGTCTAGGCTGTGGTAAGCCATGATCTTGCTACTGCACTCCAATAGAGTAAGACTCTGACTCAAAAATATATATGTATGTTAGATGTAACATACATATTTAGGATTGTTAATTTTTTCCTTGATTATTTGACCAGTTTATATACATCTCATTTTATCCCTGATAGTATTCCTTCCTTAAGTCTTTTTTTCTGATACTAATATAGCCTCTCTAGCTTTGTTTTGATTAGTGTTTGCATGGTATATCCTTTTGCATTTACTTCACCCTGTATATGTCTGTATTTAAAGAGATATTTTTGTAAGTGGCATAGCTCTTGCATTTTTTAAGTACCCATCTGATGGTCTCTGCCTTTAATGTGATTTTTTCATGTCATATACATTTTATGTACTTATTTATATGGTTTGATTTATACCTATTTTCCTTGTTGTTTTCAATTTTCCCTATCTGTTCCTTTTTAATTTTCTGTTTTTCCCCCAGTGTTTGCTGAAGGACTTACAGTACACATTTTTAACTTATGTCTATTTTTGAAGAAAATTATACCACAGCATGTATAGTGTAGGAACTTTGCAATAATATATTTTCATTTCTTCCTTTCTTTTGTGCTAGTGCTGTTTTTTTTTTTTTTCTTCTGAGTGGGGGAGTCTCACTCTATCGTCCAGGCTGGAGTGCAATGGCGCGATCGTGACTCAGCGCAGCCTTGACCTCCCAGACTTAGGCAATCCTTCTGCCTCTGCCTTCTGAGTACCTAGGACTACAGGTGCCTGCCATTATACCTGGCTTATTTATTTTTTATTTTTTATTTTTGTAGAGACATGGTCTTATTATGGTGTACAGGCTGGTATGCTATTGTTCTTATATGTTTTACTTCTACATATAAATTTCATAATAATTTACTTATAAGTGTAGTTTAACTTTTTTCTGTTTCAGACTTTACATGAAAACATTTCTTATGCATTTTAAAGTATACATCATGTTTGTATGATCCATTTTTACTATAATTATAGCTGTAGTTCTTTCATTGCTCTAATTTTATTATATCATTATACTACTTTAATCATTCTACTACCATCGATAGATATTTATTTCCAATTTCAGGCTATAACAACAGCATTACAATGAACATTCTTCTGCATGTCTTCCAGTGTCTATATACAGAAACTTTTCCAGAATATATAAGCCGTTTCTGCATATTTTCAGCTTCACTAGATTTTGCTAAAGTTTTTCACAGTGATTTTACCAATTTATACTCATCACCAGAAGTATAGGAGATTTTCTTTTACTCAGTATCTTTGCTGATAATTCATATCATTAGTTTTAATTTTTTCTTACTAGTATGTAGTTGGCAGTGTCATAGTGGTGCGGGAGATAAAATCTGTTAACAACAGCCACTAAATAACAACCACCACCACCAAAAAAATCTCTGCCTTCATTAAACTTACATTCTGATGTTTTGTTTGATTTTTTTTATTGTGTATATTGCGGGAGGGTTCATTTCAAAGCCAAGCTACAAATTTTTAATCTGTTTAACAGCAACATGTACTTTGTACTTAGTCTACTTAATAAATTTTACTACTTCTTCCCTTTGTCTTTTCTAATTATTTATATTGATGTTATATTGTTTTCTTTTTTTTATTTTTTAAAGCACTGGGCATTGAATGAGTTGGGGGGTTTTTGGGCATACTTATTCCCAAAAAATTATTTGGTTAAGGGAGGACTAAGGAGTTGTTTTAGGTTTGCTATTGTTTTATATTTTTGTGTTTTTGAACAATACAAAGCTTTCTTTTCTTTGTTTCTGCTACCGTATAGACTTCTTGCAAGTAAACTTGTCAAGTGATTCTTTTTGTATAGAAGTCTAGCGATACTATCTAACCTATTAAATTCCATGAAAGTAACAATGTGAGGTTGTCATTGTTGGTGGTCTTTATTTGTACAGTAACTTTTCTGCTTTTTGAATTATTTCCAGGAGTAGCAGATGAAAATACTCAAACATGGTTATAGCAGAAATCTTGACTGAATTTGGTATTTTCATTGTAACTTTTTTTTCCACTTGCAGTTATAAAAAATTGATGTCTCTGAAAATAGCTGATACTGATATAAGACCGAAGAGCAGTTTAAAATGTAATACAAAAGGTATTATTTTACTTTTATATGCCTCCTACTGAAAAGTTTGTTAAATTTTTGACTTTCTCAGTAAGTATCATGCCATTAACAACCATGTCTTCATTTGTGTTTGTCATATATTGGGCTTGGGTTTAGGCCAGCAAGCAGCACTTGGTGTAGGCTGGAACTCACAGACAGAAGTATCTGCAGGAATATGGGTCTCACATTACCTTGGCATACAATAGAGAGGCATGCTAGATATGGTGCATAGCTGTGACTACATAATGAGATTGTGTTGCAGCAGAGGTTTTCTACCAACCTCTCCTTCTTTGCTCCATTCCCTCTTCTTATTTTTATATTTTTTTAATTGGAGTCTCACTCTGTCACCCAGGCTAGACTGCAGTGGGACACTCATCACCACCCCAACGTCGACCTGCTGGGCTCTGGAGATCCTTCTGCCTCAGCCTTCCAAGTAGCCGGAACTACAGGCGCATTATACCACACCCTGCTAATTTTTTATCTATTGTAGAGATGAGGTCTCGGCAAGTTGCCCCGGGTTGCTCTCAAACCCATGGCCTCAGGCAATCCACTCTCCTCAGCCTCCCAAATGCTGGGATTACAGGCTGAGCCACCGAGCCCAGCCGCTCCATTCCCTCTTAACAGAGCAAGCATTAGAGCAGGCTTGCATGGAAGGAATGAGCATATTTGGCCTGGAGTCAAAACAGCCTGAAGTTAGGAGCCAGCTGTTTAGGAGCATGCTAGGAAATGCCCTGCCCAGCACTTGGAGACCTTTAGGGCCCTTCTGTTGAAGAATTGTTTGGTGGTAGTCCTTCTTGCTAGGGGAAATGGATGTCTTTAATCCCAGCAACCCAGGGAAAGCTCCCTGAATCACTTACTCTTTACATTTATTTGCCTCCACAGTGTATGTCAAGTATTTCAAGCAAATATATTAATTTTAAAAATCTATTGAAACATATAATCCTGAAGGATGAAATAATAAACTACATGTTATAACTACATATTTTGATATTCATACAAAAACAAAATACCATCATATACCAAATTATTGCTGCTTTTGAATTCACCTCAGTCTACTCTCCTTTTTCGGAAGTAGTACTAAACTAGGAAAATACCAAATAGTTCAGTCTCAATCCTTATTCCACTTAATTGATGAAATACTTACTTAATCATTTATTTTTTTGAGAGGATAAGAACATGAGATTTGCTGTATCAATGCTTCTGAAGCATTATGTATGTACTTGAAATACTTGGTGATTTTGTGAAAATGCAGGTATCCATTCAGTAGGTCTGGAGTGAGGCCCTAGATTCTGTGTTTTTAACAGGCTCTCAGGTGGCTGCTGATGCTGCAAGGCATTAGGTCACTTCATGTTTGTTGATACAGATCTGAGTTGTCTAATATAGTAGCTACTAGGAGTACCATATGTTCTCACTCATAAGTGGACCTTGAGCAGTTATGATGCTATAAGAAAGGGATTGGCAGTGGTAGTAAACTGCCAGGGGATGGGGGGTGGGATTGGCAGTTGAGGGAAACTGCTGAGAGGGAGGGGTATACCTACCTCATCAACAAGGGTACCTGCATAATCAACGTTTGTATACCTAACCCTGAATTGTACCCCGCATCTTTATAATTAAAAAAAAAAATCAGTTCCTTAGTCATACAAATGGCATTTCTGGTGCTCAGTGAGTAGTAGACAGTGCCAGTATAAAACATTTTTATCACTGAATGTTCTACTGGACAATGATGATTAGGATAAAGCATAATTATTTAAGTAAAATATAATTAAATGATAGCAGTTACCATTCTTGGCAAATTTTATAAGTTTCAAAGCTATTTGGTTGCCACAGCTCATTTACTTGAATAAAACCTTGGATGGTTGAAAGTCTTCTGTGGTGATTAGTCCTTGTGATTACTCTTGCTTGGAAACATTGTTTGTATTTAGACTTTTTGACAGCTAAACAGAAAGCAGCATGCTTTTAAAGCATTGGCTGTGGCAGAGCATTATACTGTACTTCATTCTTTAGAGTAGTTTCTATCTTACAGGAGTTTCGAATGTAATGTGAGAGACCACATTTTTAAAAAAGGGAACATTAATGTAGAATGACTTGACTTCTCAAAATTCATTTTCAGATGAAATGCCTATCTTCAAACTTGACTATAATTACTTCTATCATCTACTTCATATAATTATTATTTCTGGTACTGACATGGTCCGGCAAATATTTGATGAGGCTATGCCCCCCCCTCTTTTGAAAAAAGAGCTTCTTATACACAAGAATGTTCTGGAATCCTACTACAATCATCTTTGGACTAATCATCCTTTGGGTGGATCATGGCATCTGCTTTATCCCCCAAACAAGGAGCTACCACAGTCCAAAAAGTTTGACTTATGCCTTCTACTAGCTCTCATAAAACATTTGAATGTGTTTCCTGCACCTAAAAAAGGCTGGAATATGGAGCCACCACCTTCTGATCTCTCTAAGTCTGCAGACATCCTGAGGCTGTGCAAATACAGGGATATCCTCCTTAGTGAGATTCTGATGAATGGTCTCACTGAGTCACAATTCAATTCAATTTGGAAAAAAGTTTCAGATATTCTTCTGCGCCTTGGGATGAAGCAAGAAGATATTGATAAAGTGAAGGAGAATCCCATTGAAAATATCTCACTTGATTACCATCAGCTATCCATCTACCTAGGCATACCAGTACCAGAAATTATACAGAGGATGTTGTCCTGCTATCAACAAGGTACTAAATAATTATTTACTTTGGCCAATAAACCTTCACTGAGTGTCTTATCTGTGCCAGGCACAGTGCAAAGAGTGGGATGTTCAGTGAGCTCACATTTTTTTGGAAAATATATTCACTAAGAAGGTAATAGAAATTATAGTGCCAGAGATGTTTCCAAAATGCCATGGGAAATTTTAGCCAAAGGAAGTCTGAAAAAGCTTTCTGGAGAATATAATAGAATTCTTAAATGACATGTTGAAGTTAGCCAGGTGAAGAAGATCGGCAAGAATGTTTCAGAAAGATACAAGAAGGTATAGAAACAAATATATATAATGCAGGAAACTAAGAAAGTTTGCATTACTGAGATTAAAATAGGAGAGAGTCTGTAGACAGAGTGCATTCAAGATTTCTTTTGCCATATTGAGGAGTTTGCATTTCCAGAAAGAAATCACTGAAGATTTTTAAGTAGAGTTTTACCACTTCTCCAAAATTCAGGATGTCTAAAACCATGTAATATAGGTACTGTGTGGTTTCAAGGATGCCCTTTAAGACACAGTGGGTGTATGTTTTTTTTTTCTTTTATCTAGCTGAACCTTTATATTTAGCTTAAAATTTTAGCTGCTGTCTGTTGCCTGTGGGAAATTTTAAAAATTAGGTATCATTCAGCAGTGGCCATTCCCAGAGTTTTCTGTTGATATGGAGAAGATATCAGACCTCCCCTCCAATGTCCCAGATTGCTTCTCAGTTCTCCTCTTGGAAAGCAAAATTCAAGGCATGTTAACATCCTTGCTGTGCTATTCAGGATGACTTTTCCTTGTTCTAAGTTATTAACAGCCTAGTGAACAAGTGAGGACCATGCTGATGCTATTTAAACATACAACTTCCCAAGTTTCTAGTAATTGTTAAACTGGGTCAGATATTCTTCAGAGATAATTTCTATGTCCCAGTTCCAGTCTGGGATACCTTTGTTTTCTTGCTTAATCTAAGTATAAAAGAAGAAAACACTAAGTTTGGCAATGTAAGAAAGTCAGGCAAGAACTTTTGACTTATAAATTGACTTATAAATTAAATAATACATTTATTTTATTAAGATTGTTAATAACAAAAGTTAAGTATTTGGGAACTGGCTTTGAGGACTAATTCAATTCAAGGTATTTTAAGCAGTTCTCTTTAAAGTAGTCTCAAGAGCTTATTGGTCAAGTCCATTTCATTTAATAGAGGCTTTCTTAGCATCTTATAGCTCTTTCAGTAACTATTTCAGATGCAGGTTTTATCTGGATATCTGATCTTTTGATTCCATTGTTCCACTAAATCTCCACGAAAGCTGTCTTCTTCACCATTCAATCTTTAGAGCCTAACCCAGCCTGATGCACATTGTAAGTACTTAATAAATATTAATGGGGAAGGAAAGGAAGTGCTAATCTGGATAATTCATATTGCTAGAAAAAAATCAACTTGCCGTTCGAAATTTGCTTTATTATTGATTGTTATTATTTCATGGCCTTAGACTATAAAAAGTAAGAATTTGCTACTTGGTTTAAAGTGCTTATATTTGAGACTTTAACTGTTATGAACCATCAATTTTTTGTTTATTTTCTCTCTCTAATCATGGCTTTATAACCTTTATATGATAATCTAAAAATGATGCTTTGTTTAAACTGAATTCATGAGCAAAGCTGACTATTTTTACAGTTAGCTATAGAGTACATTGATGCAATGTAAAAATATTCTGGCTTTTCTTAATCTCAGCCAGACATCTGTTGATGGCATTTGCAGTTGTACATCTAAATTTTTTCTTTATATACCATAGGAATTGCTCTACAGTCAATAACAGGCAGTCAGCGTAAGTATATTTAAAATTAAATGCCTGAGTGACCTTTAACTTGTGATACCTAAGGGATACCTATGGAATGTTTACTGGTCAGATAAACTGTATTATAATCTATAACTGTTTGTTAAAAGCTTAGAAAATTATGTGATCAGATCACCACTGGTCAGCTGAATCTAGAATGAGCCTTACTCTGCTTTGGTTTTAGTGCATGTGCCCTAGCATTTACCCACGGATGGTGTTCTAGCTTTTTACTTATAGAACGACTTGAGCAGGCAAAAATACCTACCTGTGTGCTCTACCTACTCATATGGGCTGTTCAATGCATATAGCTTTATTTGGTTAACTGTCATTGTTTATAGCTATATACTTTTTTTGCCAAGTAGTAAGGTGCCTTTAAAAATTTTAATTGTTGCTATTATTTAAATGTAATTCATATTCTTCAATTAAAATTATACTTAAGAAAACAGCACCATGGGTTTGTTTAGGGGTCAGCGTTGGACCATCTGTGAACTTTGTCTAACAAAGTCCACACATTTTGAGACTGAGTCTGTGGGGCAATATCAGAGAGCATGGTGTCAAAGAAAAGGTCACATGGGAGGGGGCTGATACCCTTCTTATGAAAAAAAAGAAAAAAGGAAAACATAGATTTCCTAGCTTTTTCCTAGCTTTTCCTTCTCATTATGTTTCAGATTTATGTCCTAAAATAATACTTACTAGTTACACTGTAAGTAGAATCAATGTCAGGACACTCAGAAACTTAATATTAGTCTATTTAAGTTCTAGAATGTCTAATATCTAGAGTCTACTTAAGATACCAGTTAAGCCGGGCTCGGTGGCTCAGCCTGTAATCCTGCGCCTTTGGGAGGCTGAGGTGAGCGGATTGCCTGAGCCCGTGGGTTCGAGACCCGCTTGGACAGACGAGACCTCATCTCTACAATAAATCAAAAAATTAGCCGGGCGTGGTAGCACGCACCTGTAATTCCGGCTACTCGGAAGGCTGAGGCGGAAGGATCACTGGAGCCAGCAGGTCGAGGCTGCGGTGGGCAGGAGCGGCCACTGTACTCCAGTCTGGGCGACAGAGTGAGACTCCAACTCAAAAAAAAAAAAAAAGAAAGATACCAGTTAAGTATCATAGCATTTAGGTTCAGATTGATTGCTTCCAGGCTAGCATATGTACCTATTATTAGGTTGTTGATAAATGGACATTGCATTTTCACCTAGTAATTGAAAAAAAGTAAGATGTCTTCTGTTTCTGTTTTGGGATGTTCTTTTTTTATGGCAAACATATTTGTAATACTTGAAGCTAACATTGCTTACATCCAGATTTTGAAAATTTTATCTTTAATATTTAGGAATTGAAATAGAAGAGTTACAGAATGAGGAAGAAGAACTAAGTCCACCTATCATGGAATACAATATAAATGTGAAATCAAACCCTGAAATACAGTTTGCAGAAATGAATAAAGATGGAACCTCAATACCTAGTGAATCTTCAACAGAATCTACTAAAGATCTCCAGGAAGTATAAGCTCTCATTAATATTTTAATTAAGAAGAACTTATTCTGATCCTTCAGTTTGTTGCATATGCTGTACTTAAAGCATCCCAGACAATCTTAATTAATATTTATCATAGTGTTCACACAGAACACTTCCTTCCGTTATCTTTAATGTCTTAACCATTTATTTTGCAACATATATTGCCAACACTTATGTGGCAGGCACTATGCTAGACTGTAGTATGTTCCTTATCCTGCGTAATGGAAGTGGATATGGGAGGGTAGAAGAAAATATAGTGGGGAATAGAAGGGAGAGAAAAGAAGAGCAAACTGAGATATTTGAACACATTTGCGAAGGTATAATTAAAATAATACAAAATGGAATCTCCAAATTTCTTTACAGATAAGTGGTAACAGTTATATAGGCACTAAATTCTTCTTAGGCTTACTCTTTTATCTTATGGGCAGAAGTATGTTGCTTTTTAAAAAGTGCCTTTCTCATTTGTTACTCACATGCATATGTGCCAGTGAGCATCTATGAGCTTTTATCAGTAGCCCACTTATTGACATTGTATGTTGTTCCTTTTTACATCAATGATTTATCAAGTACAGAAGACTAAGGTTAAAATTTTAAAAATGAAAATAATTGTTTCTATAGAACCTAAAAATATTATCTATAATATTAGATGACAGAAGATCTCAGTGGTTGGAGGACACATACATATTTTACAAAATAACTCGTTGTGCAGTTTGAATAGCATATTACGTAAATGATTTATTTCTTACCTTCCAGGTTAAGAGCAAACCTAACAGAAAGAAAAAGACGAAGAATAAAAAGGTAAGAGACTGTATTAGAATTATAATAGAGGGTATGAGCACCTGAGTTAAATACATGAATTCATTTTTAGAACTTAAATTGTCTAAGTAGACATATAGCACAAATGATTAAAAGCTTATTGAGTACATGCTTATAGATACATCTATGTTACATTCTAAACGATTGAAACAGTGTATCATATTTCATGTCCCTAAATCATAATTTATACATTTGCATATATTAAAAAGTAGACTGAATTCGTCACTTGGAAAGTTCATCAATTTCTACATACCACTCATTTTTAAAATGCCTACTCGTTGTTTTAAGAACATCTTCTTTTTGTCATGTCTCTACTCATATGTTCAGAAGTAGGTTTCAAAGCCTTAGGAAATCTTGGTTTTCTTATTTATGCCTGAGACTATGTTAACATTAATGTACCCCAAAAAGGTACAGATTTCTTTCATTGCCTCTTTGATTTTTGCCAGTTGCAAAATGAACAAGTCACTATCTGTAGAACAGTTTTAGCAACAAGTCTCTTAATTGCTTGGAAAACTACAAAGGAATGCCAAGAATCTCTCTAAAATCAAGCAGGCTGTGCAACTTTGAGGTGGAAAAAATGTTGGTTTTCTCGCCTGGAAATATATTTAAATCCTGATATATTCTGTAGATTATATACTGAATGAGAATATTTGTCCAACTATAATGTGGCGAGCTTATGTTATAGTCATTTGGAAGTATACACAAATTTTAAAACACAGCCTATTTTGTTATTTTAGTGATATTTTTCATTTTTGTCAGAATATTGGTAAGTCTCAGGTCTAATATTACATAAAGTTGGCCAAGTAAATTTATAGCTGTCAAACCATAAAACTAATTTCCAAGGGTATATAGTGTGCTCTTCTTTACTTCCATAAAATTAAAATGTTCAAATAGCCAATTTTACTTAAATGGAAAGTCCCATTTCTACATCAAGTTGAAATTAAATAGGGAACAAATATAACTGGAAACAAATATAAATACCACTCAAAAATGTATAACTAGTAACATTAAAAATCTCTTACTAAATAACATCAAATATCTAGGAACTTTTTGCTTCTTTAACATCCTATGATTTTTTTCAGTTTATTAAATGAAGTTGGGGTACTTTTGAAAATAAGATAATTTTTATCAAGATAAAGTTTAGGCATTTAGAAGAGAGATCTTGTATCTTATATCTTGTATCTTTTCCTTAAATTTTAAAGTGGGGCCTCAGAAATGCTAAAATGTATGCATTTTACTATTTCATATAGGATAGTCCTATTCAAATACTCAATTACTGTTGTTATAGGTGCAAAGAATTGTCTAGTTGTAGTGTAAGCAACTAGTTATAAAAAGTGAAGTCAATCAAATTCTCTAATCAATTCTCATGAAAAATTTTAGCATATAGAAATTTGCTTGTGCTATGCAGAGTCACAACACAGTCTCCATGCATGAAATTGTGTCCTCTGTTAATTATATGTTTTGTAACATGCCTCCTAACAGTAGTCATAATACCTATCACAGACTTTGAAAAAAACATGAAGAAAAAGTAAAATTTGTACGGAAAATAGAGGAGACGGTACAGATAACTTCTAACTAATGATCTATAGGAACTTTGTAGCTGCTCTTTCATGTTCTCTCTCTTAGATAAATATTTAACTTCCAATATATTCAAATTGTAAATAACTCTTTGGGGAGTTAATTTCATCCTCCCACCTTCCACCCAGGGTTTTGTTGGGCAAAATTATAGAAGACTTTTGTGATGAAGCCTTGGGAAAAAAGAAACATGACAGGAACTATGTCCAGCCCTTCAAGTTGGTGGCCTCCCCAACTTCAAGAAGGAACTTGCAGCAATATATATGAGAAGCTGATACATGCATTGGCATAAAGTTGTCATGGGAAGAGTCAAAAGGAATTTGAGAAATAATCAACTAGACTAGATGTGTTTATAATGAACAACCAGGTCTTTTCAACTCAGGTTCAAGCACAGTAGAACCAATGCAGAAGTCAATAATTCTAAAACATAGAATCAAATTGGCACTGGATGTTAAGCATAAAATTAGACACTGAAAAACAAGTCTTCATAGTATATAGACAAGAAAGCAAAACAAATTTATATGTACAACATCTATCTGTGGAGAAGGAGACCCTGAAGTTTCTTGTGAGCAAGAGATAGTAGAATACTGTAATACTCTTAATACATGTTAAATGTCATTGATATTACCTTTATTGGGTATGTTGCCTTTAAAGTTTTATTTTAATGAATATAAAATTTAAGGCTTTTAAAGATTTTTTTCCAAATTATGATCTCCTCAGTACTTCATTTTTAAGATTCTCAATATATCTGTCTTAGTTCTCCTTATATGTAGGTTTTCAAGAACCTTGTAACAAGTGTCGGAATAAATGGGAATTACATACATCCTGTCCCAAGGTATACCAATAGGTACAAATACAGCCTCAGTGCTCACCTCCATTATCTGAATCAATGATTTTTAAGTTATGTTTCAAGACTCAGTAACAATGATAAAATCAATTTAATGGGTCACAAGCACCATTTAAAAAAGGATATAAATGAGAATAAAAAATAGCAGAGTTCATCACATATATTATAAGTGAGATTTATTTCATGGAACTTACATTTCAGTTTTACATTTATGTATAAAATATCTATGTAAGTTCATACAGCATCATGATATAAAATTTATTTCTTACTGTGGTTATAATCAAAAAGTTTGAGAAACATTGACCTAAATGTAGTTGTATCACCGTGTTGTATTGGTATAGTTGATACAGATTAGTAATTCTTGATACTATTTTTCAGAATAAGGACTCAAAAGAGGAGCAAGTGTAAGTATTAGTTTATTCAATATTTAAGTTCTGCTCAGAATTTTCAAAGTGCTATCCTAATATAGCCTTTCTTTGGTTAGTTTACTCACTAAGAGAAGAAAGGACAGTTCCTTGTCTTAATAAGTTGCCACTTTTTTTAACAGAAAGTGACAAAAAGTTAAAGTATCATTTGCTTTGGAAGAGTAGAATCTCTTACCATTTCTTTATAAGGCTACTCAAGAGTCATCTAATACTAACTGCATCATTCAAGGATTAACTTGGGTATAGCATAAAATCTTTTAAAATATAGCCTACATTGTAGTAGCCAAATCTTGGCTAAGACTTAACTTTAAAGAATGGATTGTTATGATGTCCCACTCACCCCTTCTACCAAAAAGTTGTTTGTTTTTTTTGTTTTTTAGTTTTACTTTTTAATACAGTTGTTGGCAGTATGTTTTGAACCTTTAATGGAAACATTTTAATGTCAAAAGACCACTGTGAGATATATTGTGCATGACTGATGACAATGTAGTAGATGAGACAGTCTAGTGAAGATGTCATTATTCCCACCAAGAAATTTGTTAACTAAGTATTAGTAACTTAGAGAACACTTAAGGACATAAACTAGTAAGTGTGTCTGGAAACACTTTTTAATTTTTAAAAGCTCTTCAGCTAATTTAGAAAATTAATTGGGTATAAGAACCAGTGGTCTACATAAGCTATTGATTTCATTGAACTTTCCAAAATGTTTAGGTTACTCTAAAATACCTCAGTGATAACCTAGTGGTTGTTTATATAGCATTTTATAAATTATTCTATCAGCATTGATTTTATTATTTTTCTATATTTTAGTGTCCTAAAAGAGGGATAATGTATTTTAGATTTTTCTATTCACTAGTAAAATCAAGTCATTTATATCACGCCATAAGTAAAAATATTATTTCTTATTACCATTCAAGGAGATCTTGAAAGGAAATTCTTAGCTAGTAAATAATAGACCAAGTGAAAGGATAGTAGCATGCTTTTAAATTTTAGACATAATATAAAAATTGGTTAATTGCCATTGTATATAGTATTTTCATTTTTTAGAAAGTGGTACCTATTAGTGGTTTAGCTACTATGTTGTTACTGTAGTTTTTTTAAAAAGTCCTGTTAGAAAAGAAACCTCCACTTTACAGTCTACTTTGTTGTTATTTGCAACCCTCTATTTAAAGGTACATTGAAGTTCATAAATCAACAATTGTGGAAGAGAAAGAATATTACAATGGTAAAATAATATAGCAGATGTGTAATTGCTTGCCAATATTTCTCAAAGTACAGTTTCCCAAAGTAACTGATGTTAATAGTTATACTTTGAAAAATGAACTCTACAGTTTTATGATTCTTGAAAACACTGGTATGAACAGTATTAAATAGGTAATTTGATTGAGTGGTATCTCAGATATGCTAATATTCATTGTGAATCTTCAAGAGAAAGACTAAGTATGAACACTGTCCAAACTTTGTCTGTGAGCCTTTCTAATGCTGAGCATCTCAAAAGATGAGTACAGTATTCATTTGGGAAACAGTATGTTAGATGAAAAGCATTATACAGTTATAAAAGATCATATTGGTTATGTCACCATTATAGTACATTTATGGCAGAAAAAGAAGAGCAGTTGAAAAAAGAACAAGCAAATCCACATTCAGTCAGTAGATTTATGAGAGATGATGCAAACGATATTCAAGAAGATTCTGCAACTGAAGACAGGTTCTATAGCCTGGATGAATTGCATATTCTGGACATGATAGAGCAGGTAAGCATGACACTGAAGAGGGTACAACTCTGCCTTCCTTCTTTCAGATACAATTTACCTGGTTTTCTCTGTGCCTCTTTGAACAGCATGTCTCTTTGAAAAGCCCATGGTTTATGCTGTGTTTGTGAGGAGAAAGAAATAAATAGGAAGGGTAGTTCTGAGTGATATACTCATATGAAGAAAAATAGAAAAAAAACCCAAAACTTCTGGGAGCTGGAAACTTTTTACTTTAGCTCACAAACCATTTCCTGGCTTTAACTACTGGGCAAAATTGATACAGATGTATTCCTTGCAAAGGGTTTTGAATACCACATAGAAAAAAAAACTAGCATAATCCCACTGAATTAAATGTCTTGAGGAAAATCGTTTTGTAAAACAAAGTTGCCTTCATTTATTTAAATTAAATATGGTTATTACCATGAAATGTCTACAGAAAAGGTTAATGTACAACAATTTTTTTGGTTAAATTTCTGGTGGTAGTCACTTCTTAGAATGATGTACCTATGTGAAGAGGCATATTAAGATGATTTAAGTCCTCAGCAGAGCACTTAATTAGACAAAAACAAAAGAATATATTTTATTTTTAAAAAAAAACTTATTTTAACCACTCATGAGAATTCAGTGACAACCTGCTCTTTAGTTTAAATATAATGGTATGGTATCCATTGTCTAAGGGTAGTTAGTGCAAATGATTACCTGACTGGTTGTACAAAATTCATGTAACTACCATACTTTTCTCCTTTCTAATTAGAATATGTACATTTAAAATGACATTCTTTAGATGACACACTAAAGTTTAAATATGGGATCTCTGGTTTTCATCCAGTCACCATGAAAGCTATGATAACTTGAAGACAATTAAAATGTCACACACCTTTTTCAAAAAATGTTGACATTCATTTATTAAACAGACATTTATCATCTGCATTGTGTCAAAAGCTATGCTAAGATATGGTCTCTGTTATTATAAGTTTACAATCTAGTCGATAACTTGAACATTAAGATGATACAGTGTGATAATTAAGTGCTTGGGTCATTAAGACTGCCTGAAGCCGGACTCGGTGGCTCAGCCTGTAATCCCGCGCCTTTGGGAGGCTGAGGTGAGTGGATTGCCTGAGCTCGCAAGTTCGAGACCCACCTGGGCAGCGAGACCTCATCTCGACAATAAATCAAAAAATCAGCCGGGCGTGGTAGCGTATGCCTTTAATTCCGGCTACTCGGAAGGCTGAGGCGGAAGGATCGCCGGAGCCCAGCAGGCCAAGGCTGCAGTGGCCGGGAGCGGCCACTGCACCCTAGTCTGGGCGACAGGGTGAGACTCCAACTGAGTTGGAAATAGGCTTCTCTATTTACTATGTGACTTTGGGCACCTTACTCATTTTATATCATCTTTAAAATGGGAATAAAGAGTGCCTATTTAATATGGTTGTTATGACAATAAAAACGTTACAAAGAAAATACTTAAGAAATGGTAAGCATGCAGATAGTGTTATCCAGTAGTAGAAACAACAGGCGTGTAACTCTGGTATTGTTTAGCAAATGTTGTGAATGGTGGAGGTAGGTTTATCTAAACTAGTAGTGATGTTTTGACAAAAAACATCAATAAATGTTAGATGGCAACTTTAAATCCTTTAAAAATACTGTAACTAAAGTATTAGTAATTATTTTTAGAGGAAAAATAAGACATGCACATTCCATTTGCTTAATAGGGCTCAACTGGCAAGGTAACCGCAGACTGTGGAGAAACTGAAAAAGAAAGGCTTGCTTGTCAACGGCAGCTTTATAAATTGCACTATCAGTGTGAAGTAAGTACTTTTGCCTTTAGATCTGAGGGAAGGGAGTAGCATTTCAAACAGTAAACTTAATGGCATTTTCTTTTTAAAAATAACTCTGAGCCGGGCTCTGTGGCTCAGCCTGTAATCCCGCGCCTTTGGGAGGCTGAGGTGAGTGGATTGCCTGAGTCCGCGGGTTCGAGACCCGCCTGGGCAGCGAGACCTCATCTCTACAATAAATCAAAAAATCAGCCAGGTGTCGGGGCACGTACCTGTAGTTACAGCTACTTGGAAGGCTGAGGCGGAAGAATCTCTGGAGCCCAGCAGGTCGAGGCTGCGGTGGCCGGGAGCGGCCACTGCACTCCAGTCTGGGTGACCGAGTGAGACTCCAACTCAAAAAAAAAAATAAATAAATAAAAATAACTCTGTTTCAATTTCTGGTAACTAGAAAGAATTAACAAATATTTTTCATTGATCAGGATTTCAAAAGACAATTGAAAACAGTGACTTTTCGGTGGCAGGAAAATCAAATGCAGATTAAAAAGAAAGACAAAATTATTGCATCTCTTAACCAACAAGTGGCTTTTGGAATCAATAAGGTTTCCAAGTAAGTATAAATCTTTTGTTAAAAGGAAATTCTGGGTTTGCTTCATAATAGAGTATCTTTAATAATTAATCCCTGTAGAACCACAAGGTGGCATTATAACTGCACATTAGGAACTCCAACCATAGAATTGCACTTGCTTAAAAACCAGCCATATTTTTGCCTGCCAACTGAATTGAGAAATAAGCAGCTGCTCACACTATATATCAAGCTTTTCATGAACTGGCTAAACAAGTATGAAGATAATAGAATTACATGAGAAAGATAATTAACTTTCAAGTCATGACTCTAATTTGTAAAAATGTGACCAATGATTGGCTGTTTCTTTGTAGCATATGTTGAGTATATTCCTCAAAGATACCCATGGAATCAACTGAATAGTTTTTTTAATGTGTGTGTGTGTGTGTGTGTGTGTGTGTGTGTGTTGGTTGCTCAGAGTCTTTGTGTTCCAAGCCTGAGAGATTGAAAATAAATTTATTGACACTCTTCCTCCCACCCCCCACCAATCTTCTTTCTCCTATAGCCTTAAATATTAAATGCCTAAGACCAAAATTTCTTACTTTTTTAACAAGAGAAAAGGAGTGACCTGCTTTATTCTTTTTCTACCAATCACTGTCTCCCACTTGTGTTAGTTGAAATAGGAGCATAGTTTGTAACATGTTTTAATAAACAGTGATACCATAAGATACCAACTGTTCATGAAGTCTAGTTTAAAAATCCATGGCAATTCCTAGAACGCTGATAGGGAGAACATGAAGGGCTAGGAATGTCTTAGAGAAAGGTGTGCAAGATATTTCTTACAAGATTGGAAAAATATTTGACAAAGATTTAGGTGTTAAATTTTTTGTCACATATTATATCTCTCATGTGAAAGGGTTATTAGGAAGAACTGGATACCATAATTCTGGTGACTGTAAATATTTTCAGTCTTGCCACTGCTAGAGTAAGAGAGACCCTTCAAGTTCAGAAGCTGGCGAGGACCTAAGAAAGCTTGGACAAACTAAGTTGACTGCAATCACTTAAGAAGTCATACTTCAGCGTTCAGAACTTTGTATTTTAGCCTGGAAGGTGATGGCCAATACAGAAATATGTCATATAATAGCACAGTTTTTAAAAAAACCACCTTAACTCTGTTAGCTGGTCTATGTACTGTTGTATGCCTAAGGCTAAAAACAGACCACTTTAGGGGATGCGTTTGTCTTCACACAATGAGCATTCAGTGTTGAGTATCCACCAAACATTTATCAGATATCCTTTATGTAAGAAAAATTATTTAGGGCACATGTAGAGGATATTAAAATATGGAAGACCTTCATTATGAGCTACTAGAGAGTATAGATTAACATGTAAGGATTAAAATTACATACAACAGAGTGACTTCCAAGTCCACCAAGATGTAGTAGCCCCATTTCTCACAGCTCTTTCCTCTTACAACTTAAACACTCTAGATGTAACACAACAAACAAGCATAGGAACACTCTAGATGGTGAAACAAAAAAGCATACTGTCTAAAGACATTGAAACTTAAGGAAGAAAATGGCAGTAAGTTTTCTTATTACCTCCCATATATCTCCCATATATCACCTTCAACCTGGAACTCCCAGTAAGCACAGGGGAAAAAACTTTGAAGAAAACCCTATTTCTTCTAGCTAAAGGGCCAGCAAAAGGAAAGTATAAAAACAGAGAACCTTTTTGACAATACCCATCTTACTTTAGCTGTATACCAGTGACCCAAACACCACCCCCTCGGAAGTAAGTAGTGTACTCTGATTCTCCCACCTGATGTGTGTGACAGCTATTCTGTTTCCTTTCTGGAGTAATGTCAGCAATTCTAAGCAGGCACTTGACTTCCAATTCCTACCAGGCAAAAGGAGGTAGTACTTCAGTTCATCTGCCAGGATATGTCAGTGTGATCCAGCTGGGAGCTAATCTTCTACCTCTACCCAGCATCAGTGTGACTTTACAAGCCAGTCTGAGGCAGGACTAGTCAATACTAGGCTTCATTCCTACTCTTCCTTATGGGAAGTTAGGTCTTCACCCCTGGGGCTAGTTGGCATTCCACTGTCCCTCCTCCCCTCCATGGATACCAGAGGGACACAACAGGGAGCTGAGCTTCTGCCTCCACCTTGCAACAGCAAAGTTGTGTGAGTCAGCCTTTTGCCTTCTCCATACCTGATGTAAATAAGGCCCAGGAGGAGCTGATCTTATACCCAACCTGGAGGCAAAAAGGCAGTGTGAGCTGGTGCTCCACTTTCTTTTTTTTTTTTTGAGTTGGAGTCTCACTCTGTTGCCCAGACTGGAGTGCAGTGGCCGCTCTCGGTCACTGCATCCTCGACCTACTGGGCTCTGGAGATCCTTCCGCCTCAGCCTTCCCAGTAGCTGGAACTACAGGCATGCGCTACCACGCCCAGCTAATTTTTTGATCTTTATTGTAGAGATGAGGTCTCGCCAAGTTGCCCAGGCGGGTCTCGAACCCGTGGGCTCAGGCAATCCACTCACTTTGGCCTCCCAAAGCGCGGGATTACAGGCTGAGCCACCGAACCTGGCCTGGTGCTCCACTTTCATGGGAAGGTGTCAGTGGGGCTGAGGGCATAGCTGAACTTCACACACCTCATTTGCATTGAGACTATGAATCAATACCCACTTTTGCTGGGAGGGCCCAGTGCAAAGCTGAACCTCCTTGGCTTTTCCATTATATCTCAACAAGAGGACTGCCTACTAAAAATAGGATGATTAAATAGAACCCAAAGTTTCATAACATCCAAAACATATAGGCTACATAGGAAATACTTATCATACCAAGAACCAGGAAAAGCACATCACAGAAAAGACCAACAAATGACAATATTAAGATGATTAAGATACTGGAACTATCTGACAAAGATTTTATAGCAACTGTCATAAAAATGCTTCAACAAAATTGAATTATCTTGAAACAAATAACAACCCAGAAATTTTCAGTAAAGAAATAGTAAGTTATAATAAAGAATGGAAGTTATATAAGTAGAAAATATAATGGAAATAAAAGCTTGCTGGATATAGTTACTAGTAAAGTAAAGATGAGAGAAGATTGAGTCAGTTAACTTGTGACAGATGAATACAGGTTACCCAGTTTGAAGAACAAAGAGAAAATAGACTCGGGGAAAGAAATAAAAAAGAATCTGTGGGACCTGTGGGACAGTAGCATAAGTATTTGTCATTGGAATTCCAGAAGAACAGAAGAGGAGAGAGGGAAGGACTAAAAATATATTCAAAGAAATAACTGAAAACTTGCCAAATTTGATTAAACACATAAATTTATAAACTCAATAAATTAAATGAACCCTAAATAGAATAAAACCAAAGAGATCCATGCCAAGACATAACTAAACTTCTGAAAATTAAAGACAAAGAAAAAATTTGATAATAGGCAGAGAGAAACACTAGTTATGTGGAAACAGTAATTTGAATGACAGCACATTTTTCATTTGAAACCAAGGAGGCCAGAAGGAAGTGGCACATTATTCAATCACTGAAAGAAAAGAACAGAATCATGAATCCTGTATTTAGCAAAAATAGTCTTTAGGAATGCAGGGAAATAAAGACAGTCTCAGATGAAGGAAAACCATAATAATTTGTTGCTAGCAAATTCTTATAGCCTATTCTTAGAGAATGAATATAGGAAAGTCTATGAACATAAATAAAATAATAGAAACTTGAAACTTCAGAAAGGAAAGAAGACCATTAAAATGAGTACAGAGTATGACACATAATAAATGTCTATTCTATGTCTCATTAACTTCTTAAATCATATTTGATAGTTGAAGCAAAAATTATAATAGTCTTATGTGGAATTAAATGTATGTAGAGGAAATATATGCAACAATATTTTTTTTAATGAGTAGGGCAAAGGGACCTAAATGAGAGTAACATTAAAGATACACCATGAAAACATTTATCAAGAGAAGCGGCTATATGAAAATCAGATAAAGTGGACTTCAGAAGAAAGAAGACTGGACACAAGGAGGGATGTTCTATAATGATAAAAGGGTCAACCTACCAGGAAGACATAAAAACCTAAAGGTATATGTACCCAACAACAGAGCTTCAAAAAACATGAAGCAAAACCTGATAGAACTGAAAGGAGAAATAGAAAAATTTACCATTACTGTTGACAACTTCAAACCCCACTCTCAATTTATAAAACTACTAAACAGAAAGTCAGCAAAGATATTGAAGACCTCGGTGTTTGCCAACATGATCTAATCAATATTGGTAAAACACTCCACCAGACAACAGCAGAATACACATGCTTTTAGGTGCCCACAGGACATATACCAAGGTCAGCCATATTCTGGGCCATAATATAAACCTCAACAAATTTAAAAGAGTTGAAATCATACAAAGCATGTTCTCAGTTTTCAATGGAATCAAACTAGATAGACATCAAAAACAGAAAGATTACAAGAAACCTTCAAACACTTGGAAACTATACAACCCATGTAATCCTTGGGTCAAATAAGAGATCTCAAGAAAAATGAAAATACATTGAATTGAGTTAACATGAAAATACAATGTATCAAATTCGTGGTGCACAGCTGAAGCAGTGCTGAGATTATAACACTAAACATACACAATAGAAAAAAGGAAAAGTCTCAAACGGATAATCTAAACTCTCACTTCAAGATCCCAGAAAAAGAAAGCCAAAAGAAAGTAAAAACAAACAGAGGGAAGGAAATAATAAGATTAGAAATAATGGAAACTGGGCATGATGGCACATACCTATAGTCCTAGCTACTTGAAAGGCTGATGCAAGAGAATTGCTTGAGCCCAGGAGTTTGAGCCCAGCCTTGGCAAAATAGCAAGGCCCTATCTCTCTAAAAATGTGTATTTCTGTGTATATGTAAATGTCTGTAATGGAGTTGGAAAAAAAAAATAGAGGAAATCCATGAAACAAAAGGCTGTTTCTTTGAAAAGGTCAATAAATTTGACAGACCTCTAGCAAAACTGACAACATAAAAGTCATAAATTACTGCTGTCTGGAATGGAATAGTGATACCACTACTAACCCTACAAACATGAGAGAAATAAACTGAATGAATAAAGCCAATTCCAAAGACTTACACACTATGTTTCCATTTCTATAACATTTTAAAAATGACAAAGTTGTAAAAATGGAAAGCAGATTAGTGGTTTCAACGTAATAAGGGGATAGGAATGGGAGGGAAGTGGGTGTGGCTAAAAAAAGGGCAAAATGAAAGATCCTTGTGATAAAACTGCTCAGTATCTTGGCTGTATCACTGTCAGTATTCTGGTTATAATATGCTATCGTTTTGCAAGATATTACCAATGAGAGGAATTCAGGAAAGGTTACAAAAGCTCTTTCTGTGTTATTCCTTACACCTATGTGTGAATCTACAATTATTTCAAAATAAAAAGTTTAACTGTGTTTCAAAGTACGTATACAAATAACGGTCAAACAAAGTTATATTTAGTAGAAATATTGTAGGTTAAAGAGAGTGCTTTTGGTTGTTGTGATAAGGAACTTCCTTCAATGAAGGAAGGACTTTTTTAAAGCAGTAACACTGAACCTAGGCATTGAGAGCTTGGTGGAATGAATGGGAGAAAAGACAAAGCATGCAGGCAAAATGGAGAGCATGAGCACTCTGTGTTCTCATCTAAGCTTTTGAATCCTTTGTTTAATTCATCTAAGCATTTCCCAAGGGTATATGATAAAAATATAATATTCTTTAATTGAAAATTATTTCATCTTAGAATATGGATTTTATTAGGAAGCAAAAAAAATGTATTTTCATTGGCCTAATTTCATGCCATTTCTGCAGTAAATATTTAGCAAATATATATTGATAATAATTGAAGCGTTAACAGAAAATTCATATAAAAGTGACCTATTTTACATAAAACTATCATAAGCACTTAATAAATGGCAAGAAACTGCCATCTGCAAAATCCATATAATAAGCTTGATAACCAGCTACAGTTAACTTGAAAACTTTAGATCTTTTAGAAAAGAAAATCTAATAATTCCACCCTACTATGTTATAGATGAAAAAAATAGGACTGAGATGTTAAGACTGCCTGAACATAAGTAACTGGTTCATAGTGAGCTGGGTATAAGAACTATGTCTACTTTATCCTCTATTGTTTAAGAACCCAAGTTTTCTGAATTCCCCACTAGTTCTGTCAACTCATTACCAACTCTGAACAAGAGCTAGGTAAATCATTGAAGTAATGGAAGATTATGAGGGAAAAGAAAATGTCGGAGCCAGGCTTGGTGGCTCAGCCTGTAATCCCGCGCCTTGGGAGGCTGAGGTGAGTGGATTGCCTGAGCCCGCGGGTTCAAGACCTGCCTGGGCAACTTGGCAAGACCTCATCTCTACAAGAAATCAAAACATTAGCCAGGCATGGTAGCGCGTGCCTGTAGTTTCAGCTACTTGGAAGGCTGAGGCAGAAGGATCGCCAGAGCCCAGCAGGTCGAGACTGCGGTACCCGGGAGTGGCCACTGCACGCCAGTCTGGGCAACAGAGTGAGACTCCAACTCAAAAAAAAAAAAAAAAAAAGATGTCAGTGTTAGAAATCTTACTATTTTCAACTCTGTCGACATATTCCAGTATATTGCAGTAACAAAGCTTATATTTCTTATTTTTTACTTGAGAACATGACTTATTTTGTACATATAGACACTTGGTTTCTTTTCACTGCATTCTTTGATCAAGAGAGCATTGATTATAAGCCTCTACAGCTTCTAAAAAGCTTTGAGTAAAGGTGAATGGGTAATCTCTAGTAGTAAACAGTGTACAAACGTTCAAGTCATTGCTTCAAGGCTTTATCATTCCAACAATTTATAGTAACCAAAATTCCTGTGTATCCCAAGAGTATGAACATATCAGAGACTTAAAGAGAAACGGACTTTTGCTATAAAACTCTTCACATTGAAGCTAATTAACAGGTTGATGTAAAAGCTTGGTTGTAAAAAAAATACAGCAGAATAAGGGAGGAACATCAAAAATGTTTTGTGAATATATGTTAGCCAAAAATCATTATTGCATTTTTTCTAATAGTTCCTTGAATATTAATTTTTAATCTGATCACGGTTTATGTTTTCTGGTTTATACAATGTTTACTTCTATATTTAAGGTCTGATTTTCTTTAGACCTTAATTCTTTCATAATTTGCATGACTTGATATACCATTTGTTTAAGAAACTTAAAGTTCTCACTCCCACAATGAGCTTAGAAAATCAGAAGATACCATCTCTGTTTTCTAGTAGGTAAAGTACAAAAAGCTGAAGACTTTTTTCTCACATTCTGATTTACTGAGTTAGAACTTAGTTCCCTTTTTTGGGGGGAAGACAGCATCAGAAATAAGAAAGATAAATTGCAAAAGGACCGGTTCAGTATTGTTTTCAGCCTCATAATTTGTGGCCCCAAATGGACATACTTTTTTCTCTTCCTCCACTACAGATAGAGCTGTTCTGATTGTTTTAATGAGAAATAAATTTTAACATTTTATTACTTCCTTATTTGCTTAGATTACAGCGTCAAACCCATGCTAAAGATAATGAAATCAAGAACCTTAAAGAACAACTTTCCATGAAAAGGTACAAATTTAGCTTTTTCTTTGGTTGGGTGTACTCTCTCTGAAACTCTGTGTTCCATTCAGCATGAGTTCTGGCTAGAGTAGCTGTATAATTTCTTATTCAACCTGGGCTATTTTTGAGCCTGATAATGAATAATAAACACTGGGACAATAGGCATAAACTATTAGTAGAAGTGTCCTAGGCAAATTGGGAGGTACGGTCACCTTAGCTCTGACTCTACAATACTGCTGAGAGAGATTTTATTAACACAGTTATAGTTTCACAACAAACTACTGCCAGGGACTGGAACTGAAGTATTCTTATTTCTTTACCCTAATCAATACTACTGGGTGTATCTGCTTTATGAAACTGTCTAAATTATCTTTGATTTAAGAAACTAACTGGCTAAACTATTTTTGTCTCTGGTTAATTATTTTTAACTTTTAATTTTTTTATTTTAAAGATGTACGGTGCAATTCAGGGCTAGGTATACAAATGTTCAGTATGTAGGTACCCTTGATGAGGTGTGCCCCCTCTTCCTCAGGCAGATTCCCACTATTGCCAATCCCACTTCCCCATCCCACTCCCAGCAGTTTTCCACTACCGTCAATCCTTTTCTTATAGTATTATGATAATTGTTCAAGGTCCACTTATGAGTGAGAACATGTGATACTCAGTTCTCTGTTTCTGTGAAAGATCACTCAGTATTATAGACTGTAAGTCCATCCAGGTTTCTGTGAAGTTCATGATTCTGTTCTTTATGGTTGCATAATATTGCATCATGTATATTTTATTTTTTTATCCAGTCCTCTTTTGATGGGCAGCACAGTTGGTTCCACATTCTTGCTACTGTGAACAATGCTGTGATAAACATATGTGTGTAGGTATCATTTTTATAGAGTGATTTGAGTTCTCTCTGGGTGTATTCCCAGTAAGGGGATTGCGGGGTCATATGGAAGGTTGATTTTTAGATCTTTTAGGAGTTGCCACACTGTTTTCCTCAGAGGCTGTACTAGTTTATATTCTCACCAACAGTGTAGAAGTGTTTCCTTTCACCACATCCTCTCCAGCATCTGTTGTTTTTTGAGTTATTGATGATGGCCATCCTGCCTGGAATTAGGTGGTCTCAGTGTAGTTTTAATTTGCATTTCTTTGATGACTAGTGAGGCTGAGCGTTTTTTCATGTATCTGTTGACTGCGCGTATGTCTTATTTTGAGAAGTGCCTATTCATATCTTTTGCCCACTTTGTAATGGGACTGTTTGTTTTTTTCCTTTCAGCACATTTGAGTTCCTTGTAGATCCTAGATTTTAGGCCTTTGTGAGACATACAGTTGGCAAATATTTTTTCACAGTCTGTGGGCTGACTCCCCACTCTCTTGGTTGTTTCTTTGGCTTTGCAGAAGCTTGTCAGTTTGATGATGTCCCACTTGTCTATCTTACCTCTTACGGCATGGGCACTTGGGGTTTTGGTCAGGACTTGGTTGCCAGTTCCAATTTCCATAAGGGTGTCTCCTGCATTTTCTAAGCTTCTTATAGTTTGAGGTTTTACATTTAATCCATTTAGAGTTGATTTTTGTGTGTGATGACAGGTAGGGATATTGTTTTATTCTTCTGCATGCTGTCAGCCAGTTTTCCCAGCACCATTTACTGAGTAGATCCTCCTCTCCCCATTCGTTAGTAGTAGAGGCTTTGTCGAAGATGGGTTAGTTGAGAAATTGAGGTTTTGCTTCTGGAATCTCTATCCTGTTCCATTGGTCTATATGCCTGTTCTTGTATGAATACCAGGCTGTTTTGATTATTGTAGCTTTATAATAGAGTTTAAAGGCTGGGAGTATGAGACCTCCTGCTTTCTTGTTGTTGTTGTTGTTGTTTGCTGAGGATTGTTTGGTGATTTGTGTCCATTTATGTTTCCATATTTCTTCCTGTATTGTCATTTCCAGAGCTGAGAGGAATGCTACTGGTAATTTAATGGGTATTGCATTAAATCTGCAGATTGCCTTGGGTAGGATGGACATCTTAATAATGTTAATTCTTCCGATCCATGAGCATGAATATTTTTCCATTTGTTTGTGTCATCTTTGATTTCTTTGAGCAGTGTTTTGTGGTTTTCATTGTAAAGGTCTTTCACGTCTCTAGTTAGGAAGATGCCAAGGTATTTCATTTTTTTTCTGGCTATTGTGAATGGGATTATGCTTTTTATTTGGGTTTCTGTTTGTTTATTGTTGGTGTATAGACATGCAGCTGTCTTTTGCACATTGATTTTATACCGAGACTTTGCCGAAGTCCTTTATCAGTTCAAGGAGGTTTTTGACAGATTCCCTTGGGTTTTCGAGGTATAGAATCATTTCGTCTGCAAAGAGTGATAACTTAACTTCCTCTTTTCCTATTTGGATATCCCAATCTCTTTCTCTTATCTGATTGCTCTAGCTAGGACTTCCAATACTATGTTGAAAAGAAGGGGTGAGAGTGGGCATCCTTGTCTTGTTCTGGTTTTCAGGGAAAATGCTTCCAGTTTCTGTCTGTTTAGCAGTATGCTGGCTGTGGGTTTCTCATAGATGACTCTTACTATTTTGAGGTATGTTCCATCTGTGCCTAGATGTTTGAGGATTTTTTATCAAGAAGGGGTGCTGGATTTTGCCAAAACTTTTTCCAAATCTAATGATATAATTATGTGGTTTTTGTTTTTACATCTGCTGATGTATTTAATTTCATTTAAGGTCGTACAAATATTGAACAAGCCCTGCATCCCAGAGATGAAGCCTACTTGGTAGTGGTGGATGATTTTTGAGATGTGTTGTTGAATTCGATTTGCTAGGATCTTGTTGAGAATTTTAGCATCTATATTTATCAAGGATATTGACCTGTAGTTCTCTTTCTTTGATGGATCTTTACCTGGTTTTGGTATCAATGTGATGTTCACTTTGTAAAATGATGTGGGGAGAGTTCCAGCTTTCTTGATTACCTGTAATACTTTCAGTAGGATTGGTATCAGTTCCTCCCTGTATGTTTTGTAGAATTCTGCTGGAAAGCCATCTGGTCCAGGACTTTTTTTTTGTAGATAGTTTTCTTATGGCATAGTCAATTTCCTGGATTGTTATTGGTCTATTTAGGGTCTCAGTTTCTTCTTGTTTCAACTTGGGGAGGTTGTGAAATGTCAGAAAGTCCTTCATTTACTTTAGGTTTTCAATTTTGTTTCCATATAACTCTACATAGTGGTCTCTGATAATCTTTAGTATATCTTCGGGGTCAGTTGTGACTTGATCTTTTGCATTTCTGATTGTGTTTATTTAGGCTTTTTCTCTCTTTTTCTTGGTTAGTGTAGTTAGGGGACTATCAATCTTGTTAATACTTTCAAATAACCAGCTTTTTGTTTTGTTGATTTTTTTTATTTTATCTTTTTGTCTTCTATGTTCCGAATTTGGGCTGTTATTTTGGTGATCTGTATTCTTCTGCTGAAGTTAGAGTTTTGGTGGTCTTGTTTTTCCAGCTCTTTTAGGTGATTTGTTAGGCTGTTAACTTGTGATCTTTCCATTTTTTCATGTGTGTTTGTAAAGATATGAATTCCCCTCTTAGTACTGATTTCGTGGCATCCCAGAGGTTTTGGTAAGATGTTTCTTCATTTTCATTTGTTTCCAGGTATCTTTTTAATCTCTGTTTTGATTTCCATGTTGACCTAGAAGTTCCTTAGCATTATGCTGTTTAGTGTCCATATCTTTGTGGGTTTTGGGGGAATTTTGTTGGTGTAGATATTTATTTTTATTCTCAGTGGTCTGAGAAGGTGCATGGCAGAATTTCAATCTTATGAAATTTGTTTATGCTTGATTTGTGGCTGAGGATGTGGTCAATCTTAGAGTACATTCCATGTGGTGATGTGTAGAATGTATATACTGTGGTCGTTGGGTTTTCTGTAGATATCTATTAAGTTCATTTAGTCAAGTGTCACATTGAGTTTCCAGATCTCCTTGTTGATTTTTTTGTCCCAATGATCTGTCTAGGGTTATGAGTGTAGTATTTAAGTCCCCAGCTATGATAGTGCTAGAGTCAGTATCTTTTTTAAGTTGACCTAGAAGCTGCTTTTTGAAAGTTGGTGCTCCAATGTTGGGTGCCTATATGTTTAGGATGGATATATCTTATTGATGGATTGAACCTTTTATGTAGTGACCTATCGTTATGTAGTGACCTTCTGTATCTTTTTAAATTTTTGATAACTGAAAAGGTATTTTGTGTGATACTAAGATCACAACTGCTCCTTTCTTTTGTGTTCTGTTCGCCTGAAATTTTGTTTCCCATCTTGTTACTTTGAGTCTGTGAGTGTCCTTTCTGGTGAGAAGAGTCTCTTGGAGACAATATATTGTTGCCTTATGATATTTTATCCATTTTGCATTCTACATCTTTTCAATGTGCATTTAGTCCATTCACATTTAGGCTAATTATTGAAATGTGAGACTTTATCCTTGTCATGAGGTTCTTATAGAGTTTGTTGTTGTTGCTATTTGTTGTCTTTCTTTTGATTTTTGGGTTGATTCATATATATTTTCAATCTTTTTCCTACATTCTTGTGAAGGGCATTGTTGTTCTTTTTTTCTTTTCTTCTGTTTAATACTTTCTTAAGTCTTTCTTGTAGAGCTGGTCTGGAGGCAGCATAAGCTCTTAGGGACTGAATGTCTGGGAAAGGTTGTAATTCTCCATCACTGATGAAGCTTAGCTTAACTAGGTTGGTAATTCTTGGTTGAATTTGCTTATTTTTGAGAACTTTGAAGATTGGACTCCAAGCTCTCCTAGCCTGAAGTGTTTCTGTAGATAAATCTGCTGCTATTCTAATTGGTCTTCACTGGTAGGTAATCTGACCTTTTTCTCATGCTGCCTTTAGGATTTTTTCTTTTATAACTACTCTGTGTAGGCAAACTACTATGTGTCTAGGAGTTGGTCTGCTCATTTGTTTTCTCACAGGGGTTCTCTGAATTTCTTGTGTTGTAATGGTTGCATCACTATGAGATGAGGGAAGTTTTCTTGGATATTTTCATGGAAAGTTTGTTCCAGGGTAGTCTCTGTCTCTCTTTCTGCCTCAGGAAGTCTACTTATTCTTAGGTTTAGCCTCTTGAAATAATCACTCATCTCTTGAAGGTTTTGTTCTGTCTTTTTAAGCTTCTTTTCTATGTTTTTGATAATTTGGGTTAGTTCCATATTTTGGCCCTCAAGCTCTGAAATTCTTTCTTCTGCTTGACAGTTTGTTATTTATTTCATTCACTGTATTCTTTACTGCTGTTATTTCAGTTATCAATTCCTTCATTCTTTTCTCTTGTCTCTCCTCAGTTCTATTTATTCTCTCTATTATTGTCTTGATATCTGGGTTTGTGGTTTAAGACCAGTCATTCTGGGGGCTCTGCATTGTTTGTGTTCCAAAGTCTGAATTCTCAGTGTCTGACCTCCCAGGGGTCTGTGCGAGATGCATGTTCTTCTTTTAGTTTTTCTTCATTTTCTTCCTTACCCCCTCCTTTTTTTTTTAACCTCTTCTTTACTTCTGTTATTGGGGGAGGTTAACTTTTACTTCTGTTTGCTCAATCTTATATTCTTCCTTATGTGGTTCCTCTGGCTTTGTTCAGTTCTGAAGCTGGACTGTGGGTTGGGGCTGTACTTTTTGCAGTTTTGAGATTTAATTGAGGGGAGAGCTGTGATTCAGAATCTATCTGCAGATCCCAGTATCCACTGACAGGTGTGTGGGCCCCATGGAGCCCACTTTCCACTGCCTTACAATCTGTCCATGCAGTGGGTATATAGGTTTGCTCCCTGAAAGCAAAATGAGGTAAGGAAAAGGAAAAGAATGGAAAAAGGAAGAAGTTTTGGAGGGGCGCGCCGAGAGAAAGGTAGAGAGAGAGAAGAGTAAGAGGTAAAACAGACAGACATACTAACCAGCTTACTGCCTGTGAAGTGTCCCACTCAGATCTGACATGTCTGTGTCTGATGCAGCATAGGGAGGGGCGTCTGTCTCTCCGAGTTTGGATAATTTTTTTAATAAAAGCTTTTAGTATGTTCACTGAGGTGTATAATCATCACCACTACCTATTTCCAGAACATTTTTTTCACCTCCAATGAAGAAATTCTGTATCCATTAGAAGTCACTCCCTATTCTCCCTTCCTCCAGCTTCTGGCAACTACTAATCTACTTTCAGTCTTTATAGATTTGCCTATTCTGGACATTTCATATAAATGGAATCATATATTATGTTGCCTCTCATGATGAACTACTTTCACTTAATATTTTCAAAGTTCAACATGTATCAATACTCATTCCTTTTTGTAGATAAATAATACTCCATTTTTTGGATATATGTCACATTTTTCATCAGTTGATGGACATTTGGCTTGTTTCCATTTTTGGCTATTAGGAATACTGCTGTAATAAACATTAATACATAGATTTTTATATCTCTTGGGTATAATAAATAAACCATGTTTCACTCTCTGAGGAACTGCCAAACTATTTTCCAAGTGGCTTCACCATTTTAGAGTACCACCAATAATGTATGAGGGTTCTGATTTCTCCACATTCTCACCAACACTTGCTAGATTATCTGTCTGTATTTTACCCATTATGTGTTAAGTGCTATATCATTGTCATTTTGAATTGCATTTTTCTGATGATTAATTATGTTGAGCATCTTTTCATGTGCTTGTTGGCCATTTGTGTCTCTTCTTGAAGAAATGTCTATTCAAATCCTTTGCTCACTTCAAAAATTGGATTATCTGTTTATTGTTGAGTTATCAGAATTCTTTGTATGTCCTGGATACAGGGCCCTTATCAGATACATGATTTGCAAATTTTTTTCTCCCATTCTGTGGGCTTTTTCACTTTCTTGATGATATTGTTTAAAGCACAAATGTTTTTAATTTTATGAAATCTACTTTCTTTTTTTTCTTGTAGGCATTTTGTACCATATTTAATGTCATAATAACCATCTTTTGTTAATATATCTACTTGAATATTTAACTGTGACTTTGCTTTATGACAGGGATAATAAAAGTCTATGTGGCTGCTATCATTGGGATATAAAAAGGCTTGTAGAAACTTTATGTAAAATTTATTAATAATGATAATAGTTGACATTTATTTAGTCAACTTATGTGCCAAACCAAAGTGCTTTATTATATATATTATGGAATGAAATTTCATTACAGCTCTTTGAGACAAGTAAGACAATTTTCTTCATTTTTACATGTGAGGAAACAGATATAGAGAAATTTAAATAACTTTCTTAGTTTGGACTACAGTAACAAAGCATCATTGACTAGGTGGCATATAGACAACAGAAACACATGTTTCACAGTTCTAGAGGTTAGGAAGTTCAAGAGCACAGTGCCACTTCCTCATAGACACCAATCTTCTCCCTATAACTTCACATAGTGGAAGGTAGGGAAAGGAGCTCAGGCCTCTTTTTAAAGGGCACTAATTACATTCATGAGAGTTCCGCCCTCATGATTAATCACCTCCCAAAGATACCACTTCCCAAATACTATCACTTTGGGAATTAGGAGTTCAACATATGAATTTAGTGGGAATGCATTCAGTCCATTACTCTTGCCCAAAGTTTTCCATTTGATAAATTGTGGAGCTAAGATTCATCCTCAGACACTTGATTTCAGAGCCAAGTTTTAAATCATTACCTCTATCCTGACAATTTTAAAACTTTTACATTCTTGATAATAAAGGATAGCAGAAAGAATTGAGCAATGCCTTCTCTTGTTTATGTACTGTATACTTTTCTAAGAAATAATCTCCTACTCATTGCATATGTTATCTTTCCCCTGAAAAACTATCCCTGCTATAATATTATTGAACCTTTAATGATCATATATTTCAGATCTCAGTGGGAAATGGAGAAACATAATCTGGAAAGCACAATGAAAACATACTTAAGCAAACTGAGTGCAGAAACTAGCAGAGCTTTAACAGCAGAGGTAAAAAAAAAAAAAATGGATATAGGGTGAGGGAGGGAAGTTTTACTTGTGTGCCAGTATACAAAATAATTTTTAAAAGACTGTTTTTCAAATAAACAAAAATAAGACATCTTAGGATCAGCCAGGAAAACACAGCTCAAATTCTTGTACTTTTTTGACTAATTGATATTTCATGTATAAACAGTTCATTTTTGATGACCTATGTTGTTTTCCTCCAATGACTCCAAGAAATCGGTCTTTTGAAGTATGTATGGCAAATATAGACACCTTTGGAAAATTCTCATAAAGCCAGATCACTAAACCAAACTTCCAAAAATAATATTTCACTTCTGCCATGATATCTTCTTTGTCTGCTACTTCCTATGTAGATCTTCCAAAAATACTTACACATCATACAGCCCGATGTAAACAACCAACTTACTAGACTTTATAAAGTTACACAATTTTAGCTTAGAACACCACAGCTCAAAAGAAATATGGTTGTGTGTGTGTATGTAATTTTTATTTATAGATAACCAAACTTGATATATAATAGGATTTACATTTTTCAAGAGGTTGCTGACATTATAAACATTACAAACCTTCCCACCTCTATCATGGATAAGCTCTGTTCTCTAGCAGAGTATTTGGGATTCTGTAAGTCAGCAATCAAGGAGTAATAGCTGAACCAAAAATCCATGAAAAATAGTATCGGGGTACTAGCTTTAATAAAAGAAAAAGTTCAAAGGACCTTCAAAAGCTTAAGTTTATATACTTTGTTTTTCACTGCTTTTAGTCAGAAAGTTTTTTTCGGCTTCCATTATTCATTTTAGGAAGAAAGAACTTTCTAATACTTAATACTGTTCAAGAGTTTATTTTTAATAAATATTGAGTGATTGTTAGTAAAAAAAAAAAGAAAACAGGCTAACTCAGTTTGCAGCAGTAATAATGCTCTGGGAGAGACATTGAACTAGATGATCTGTAAGGTGCATTTGAACTGTGTCTTTCTGTATGGTCTGATGATTTTTGTACCTTTTCATCAATGAAAAAAAATAGCAAGACTTCTTTTGAATATTTTCTCAAACTTTGTTGCATGTTAGGGTTATCTAAGAGCTTTTAAAAATTCCAATGCCCTGACTGTACCCAGTATCAATCCAGTTAGAATCTGTGAACAAGGCATCAGTTTTAAAACTTCTGAGATGATTCCAGTATGAGTGCAAATTTCAAAAATCATATTCCAGAATGCTCATTAATCTAGTAACCATTGAATAACAAAATTATAATTGTGACTTGCACTGAACAGAAAGTTTTTATAATGCATCTTGAATGGTCAAGAAGCCTGGGTACTGTTGGAAGAAATTGAAAATTAGCTTAAAGTTTACTTGAGATGATCAAAAAGAGAATGTTCGTTTACAAGAAAGATACCTTCAACTTCTTTCTCTTTCTCTCAAAAACCTGTAGGTGTATTTCTTACAATGTCGTAGAGATTTTGGTTTGCTTCATCTAGAGCAGACTGAAAAGGAGTGTCTCAGTCAGCTTGCCAGGGTGACTCACTTGGCAGCAAGGTAACCTTTTCCTTTTCCCTCTGTGATGTGTTTTACATATATGACATCAGAGTCCTTTGGGTGAAGAAGCCCTTGTTTTTTAAACCTCAAAAGTCATTTAGTCATTTTTATGCTTGTACTATGTTGCTTCTGCTGAAGAACTGAGAAGTCTACTGAGTACAATAATAGCAGCTGAAAGATTTTGCCATTCATAGTGAAAGAGATCAAAAGTCTCACTCAGAGACATGCATGAAGACCAGATATTTTATAAAACAAGGTGGATTCTAAACTGGAAGAAAATTTTTCTATTTTTTTTCCCTTCTGATGCTTGATTTTAAATTCCTTTGGAATACATTGAGGGGAAAATCAGTATTAACACCTAAAATCATATGTTAAAGGCAGGTTTCTGGCTGTGTTTTCATAGTAATTATAGAATAATTTTCAAATATTGGACAGACTATGTGAAATTCTCCATAAATTTATGATCTTATGGATGTACCTTCAATAATTAATTAAATTAGAATTTCTGGGACCAAGGTATCATTATTTTTATTGATTGTCATTTTAGTAGTCAACATCATTCTTCAATTCTAAAGAATGAGAGTCTCTGATGTTTAGCAAGACTTGCAGGACATACTGATGTACATTCAAGTCAAGGAAGTACTTTTGCATATGGTCAGTCTTATCTTTGCTTGCTAGAAGGAGAAAGGATGCTTCATAAATTAGAATATTATGAAACTTTTTGTATGAGATGATATTAGTGATAACTTCTGCAGCTCTTATAAAACTGTTGGGCTGGGTGATACTGGTGTAAGAATATTATAGCAGATATTACCTTTTAGAAGCCATATGCAATCTCTCTTCTACAAATAGTAGACCTAAAGACCTCAACATTGTTCCTACTTTAGTTAGATCATTTGGTGGGCATGGGTTGATAGAGCTGCTGTGTTTGTGTGATGTATGCACTGCATTAAAGGCAGCAACCTCACACCCTCACAGAGGAGTTTGCCCTCCCAGAGGTAATATCTTTTTCAGATTTGCAAAGGTGCCAAATAGGTCAACCATGGTTCTGTAATGTCAAAATTAATGTGACGGTAGTCCAAAACATGCTTCCAAGATGCGTCATAATTTTTGAAAATATGTAAAACCCCTACATTTGATGACTAAAGCATCTTCCTTGTTGGGCCTTCTCTGCTTCCTTACTTCACTGGAAGAACTCCTATACAAGGGTTTTATAATATGTCCTAAAAAAAATTGCCAAGATAGGAAAACAACTTGGTGTTCTGGACGCATAAATTATATTTGCTCTTGAAAAAATAATTTGTACGTTACTAGTTTTTGGTTTTATTTTTAAGAGCATGCCTTTCTATACATCGTTGTGTCTTATTTGAGGAAAATGTTGATAATGGGGGTAATTTTGTTGTTTACATGCATGATAGAAAGCATAATGGAAATTTTTGGAAACCTAAGTGTTATACAAAAGAAAGAGCTTTATCTTGTGTCTCCTTTTATACACCAGTAACCTAGAATCACTTCAGTTAAAGGCTGCAGTAGACAGTTGGAATGCCATTGTGACAGATGTTAGAAACAAGATTGCGTTCCTCAGGGTAAGTCCTGAAGTATATTTAGAGTAAATTGACTGAATGTTATGAGTGGTATAAAGTTAGAAGACATCTCACTTTAAAACCTATTAGTAAGCCGGGTGCAGTGGCACATACTTGTAATTCCAGCACTTTGAAAGGCCAAAGAGAGAGGATCACTTGAGCCTAGCAGGTCAAGACTGTGCATTACATTAGAAAGTTAGCTGGGTGTGGTGGTGCGTGCCTGTAGTTCCAGTTACTTGGAAAGCTGAGGCAGAAGGATCACCTGAGTCCAGCAGGTCAAGACTGTGGTGGCCGTGAGCATGCTACTGTACCCTAGCCTGGGTGACAGAGTGACTCCAACTCAAAAAAAAAAAAAGATTAAAACTACATCAAGTAGTTCCATATGCTGTTTCTTCAGAGGTTCTTGTGCTCTAAAATATTTTTATTCTTCTTCTACCAGACACAGTACAATGAACAAATCAACAAAGTAAAGCAAGGGTTTGCCTTGAGTACTTTGCCGCCAGTTCAGCTTCCTCCACCACCACCCAGTCCTGAGATACTGGTAAGAAATATGACATTTTGAAAAACTGCCATCTTCATTTTGATAAAATGGTAAGAACTATAAAACACTCAATATACAATGTGTTAAATGTGTGTTTTAAATGGATTAGGCACATGTTGTGAATATCTGTTGTAATTATGACCATACCCACTAGTCACCAGATGGTATCATTAGTTGGCTGCCTCATTGGAGGCCTATCCAGGAGGTTGCATCATTGGATCTTAGTGATGCATTTGATATCTATAGAGTAATACTTTCTCTATAGATAATATTTTCTCTATAGATATATTTCATATCTATGTATAGATATTTATTATATAGATACATACATATATATTTCAGATAGATGGATGGATAGATCGATCGATCAATCTAATATTTCATTCTGTCAATCTTACTTACATTGTTAGAGGTCACTGATGCATGCTTAGTTTTCCTGATGCCTTCATGTTACCACTAGATGACTGAAACATCACAGCATAATACCCTGGAGGCAGGACTTTGCCCCTCAACTTCTACTTTAGACTTTCTTTTCCCTAAGTTTTATATTCTATTCTACCTTCAACAACAAAGATGGCTTCTACTTATGCCCCTTCTCTGCTTGTTGTTAGGAGCCAGTCGGTGGGTCTTATCAGATAACTAATCCCTTGGTGTGTACTATTTATGTTACCCTTCTGAGAAACATAGTACCCTAGCCCAGTAAATTCACACAACTTTCCAAAAGACCTTTCAAGAAGGTACTCTTAGATGATAATTTTCATTATCATAACAGGTCTGGATGTGGGAAATGAAGAAAGGTGTAAGATATTTGAAGGCAGGTGAATTTTGATATCAGCACTCCTGCTTGTTGAAGAAATATGAAAATGTTATTTCTGCCTATGGTTAAGTATAACAAAGAACTTAAAAATTGTATGAATTGTGTGGAACTACACTGTGTATTTCAAAAGCAGTCCTGAGCAGAAAAATATTATTATCTGTGCCGTGGGCTTTAGTTTAAAATGATAGTATTGCCTTTTATATTTTTGGTCAATTTAGATTTTATTATAGGAATAGTTTTATGAACATTATTCTAGGCTTAAATCATCATCATCATACCCAGCTACCCTGATAAGGAATGTGTTAGCTGGCAGAGAAATTTCAAAGATTGCCTACAGTAACAGATATTTTTGGTAGAATGTCTAAAAACCCTGTCATTTCTGCCCAGATTCAAAATATTGCCCTTAAATTGTAGTTAAACTCCCCTATGACTCTAAATATAAAATGGTTCCACAGACTGTGAAGCTAGATATACAGAGTTTGTTGGTGTTTTCTGGAACCAGACCAGCATAAGCCTTGGCTATCTGATACTAGTGATACTCTGTAGCTGGTAAATGTAGTCAAACCTTGACCTCCAGAACCTCTAGACGTTTATTCCTTTGGAGACTTTCTTATATTTGTTGTGGCTTAGCCAGATTTAGTTAAGGGCAAAATCTCACTGGCAGTCAGGCTATATGGTAGTAGGCATCCTTTGCTAACAGTCTGAGGTGTACACCTGTATCTTTTTTGCTTCAGAACCAGAGACACAGCTGTGCTTGATCAGGCTAACAGTTGTGTTAAAGTACAAGCTTTAGTTACCATCAGGCATCAGAGGAGTTTGGGAGAACAGCAGCTAGAATGTTGCAGTGTTATGTGCTATAATTTGAGATGATGCTATACAATGGAAGTAAAAGAAGGTCTGGGTTTAGATCTTAACTCTGTAAAGAACTCTGTTGTTCTTGGAAAATTCAGCACTTCTGGACTTTTGTTTTCCCATCAGTAAATCAGTAAATTGTATTGGATGATCTAATCACTAAAGTCTGATGCATCTCTGAAATTCTAGTGTTCTAAGGGATTGTCATCAGACTTTAAATATATGGCAGTTGCCGGGCTCGGTGGCTCAGCCTGTAATTCCGCGCCTTTGAGAGGCTGAGATGAGTGGATTGCCTGAGTCCGTGGGTTCGAGACTCGCCTGGGCAGGCGAGATCTCATCTCCACAATAAATCAAAAAATTAGCCGGGCGAGGTAGCGCGTGCCTGTAGTTCCAGCTACTTGGCAAGCTGAGGCGGAAGGATCGCCGGAGCCCAGCAGGTCGAGGCTGCGGGGGCCGGGAGCGGCCACTGCACTCCAGTCTGGGCGACAGAGTGAGACTCCAACTCAAAAAAACAAACAAACAAACAAAATATATATATATATATATGGCAGTCTAATTTGAGAAGTTTATGATAATGTGGACTATTCCCAGTTTAACCTAGTAATTAGATATGCTTCATTATATCTTAATTTTTGTACCCTAGCCATTTAATCCTCAAAAAAGTATTAGGCACATTAAAAACATTATTCACTATGATCAAATAGGATTCATTTCAGGGATGCAAGTATGATTTAACATATGCAAATCAGTAAAGGTGAGACATCACATCTACAAAAAGGACAAAACCCTTATAGTCATTTCAATAGATGCAGAAAAAGCATTTGACAAAGTTAGCATCACTTTATGGTAAAAGCCCTCAATGAATTAGGTGTGAAAGCTATGTGCCTCAATACAATAAAAGTCATATATGACAAACACACAGCTAATATCTTACTAAATAGGGAAAAGCTGAAAGCTTTTCCTCTAAGATCTGGAACAAAAATAGAATGCCTACATTTGCTACTTCTGTTTAACATAGTGCTGAAAGTCCTAGCCAGAGCAATTAGGCAAGAGAAAGAAATAAAAGGCATCCAAATTGGAAAGGAGGGAGTCACATTGTTTCTTTTTGCAGATGACATGATCTTACATATAGAAAATCCCAAAGACTCTACCAAAAAACTTCTAAAACCTATAAATGAATTTGGTAACATTGCAGGATACAAAATAACATATAAAACTCTGTAGCATTTCTATATGCTAATAGTGAGCTATCTGAAAAAGAAATTAATAAAACAATAACATTTACAATAGCTACAAAAACAAAATATACCTAGGAATAAATTAAATAAGGAAATGAAAGATTACTACATTGAAAACTCTAAAAAACATTGATGAAAGACATTGAGAAGGACACCAAAAAATGGAAAATATCCCATGTTCATGGACTGGAAGAATTCAGGGAAATGCAAATCAAACCCACAGTGGGTATCACCTCCACTCCAGTTAGAATGACTATCATCATCTGGCTGGGCACAGTAGCTCATGTCTGTAACCTCAGACATGAGCTGAGAGGCCAAGGCAGGAAGAATCCAGGAATTCAAGACCAACCTGGGCAACACAGCGAGACCTCATCTCTACAGAAACATTTTTAAATTTCCTAAAAAAAAAAATCCTGGGCATGGTGGTGCATGCCTATAGTCTCAGCTACTCGGGAGGCCTGAGAAAGGAGGATCACCAGAGCCTAGGAGATCAAGGCTGTGGTGAATCATGATTATGCTAATGCACTCCAGCCTGGGCAATAGAGTGAGACCCTGACTCAAAAAAAGAAAACAAAAAGAATGGCTATCATCAAAAAGACAAGAGATATAGATATCAAGTGTTGGCAAAGATGTAGAGAAAAGGGAAGGAACCCTTACATACTGTTGGTGGAATGTAAATTAGTGCATCTATTGTAGAAAACAGTATGGAGGTTTCTCAGAAAATTAAAAATAAAAATACCATATGATCCAGCAATCTCACTGCTAAGTATATATCTAAAGGAAATGAAGTCTCAGTATCTTGAAAAGAAATCCACACTGCTATGTTCATTGTAACATTATTTACATTTGCAAAGATATAGAAATAACCTAAATGTCCATAAAGGTTGAATGAATAAAGAAAATGTGGTGTATATATACATACAGTGGAATATGATTCGGCATGAAAAGGTATGAAATCTTGTCATTTGTGACAACATGAATGAGGCTGGATGATATGATGTTAAGTGAAATAAGCCAGACACAGAAAGACAAATACTGCCTGATCTCACTCATGTGGAATCTAGAAAAATTGATCTTATAGAAGTGATGAATAAAACAATGGTTGCTAGAGATTGAGAAAGGTAATAGGAAGGGGGCATAGAGAAAGGTTGGCCAATAGGTACAAAGTTACAATTAGAATTGAAGAGTAAGTTCTTTTTTCTGTTACACAATGTGGTGTCTATAGTTAACAATAAGCATATCAAAAATATCTAGAAGAGAACACTTAGTATATTCCCACCACAAAGAAATGATAAACGTTAGAGGTGATGGATATACTATTTACCCTGATTTGATCATTTAAAATGTACACATGAGCCGGGCTTGGTGGCTCAGCCTGTAATCCCGCGCCTTTGGGAGGCTGAGATGAGTGGATTGCCTGAGCCCGCGGGTTCGA